ATACTTTAAAATTCTTACCTTTATTCTGCTTAGAAAAACTCACAGCACAAACTGATAACACTGTTAATTTGACGGTAGTGTACAGATCCTTTAAGCACAGAATTAAAAAAAAAACAAGTCGGTTCAAAAATGGCGCGAAAAACAGCGTTAACTTGACACCGTGACGCGTTTTATAAATTAAAGAATTAGATAGTGGTTATGTTAGCTAATATGCAATGTGTTTCTGGCGTCTGCGTCCAGCGTACATACGTGACTAAGATCGAGTCATGTGCCTTTTAATATAAAATTTAGGTGGCAGGGAAAATGCGGTGCGGTAGGTAACGGTGTAATTTTGGCTAGCATCATAAAGGCATGCCTGTATGGATGGAAATAATAACTGGATGGGTGGGTGATCGTGAGTCATGGGTGGTCTGAATGCGTGGATCTTGTTTTCAATTTGTTTATAGGTTCTGATAAAGAATGTCATCTAATCGAAAATGCTAATATGTCGCCTGTTTAATGTCACCCGATAGATTTCAATAAAATCTATATAAAATCGCAATCCTGTTGTCATATTTGACGGACACACCGACGGCAGACGGTCACTGCCGCGAATGAAATTCAACCAGGAATAAAGGCAGGTTATCCTCCCGTTATTATTCGTACGTTCTATCCTTAAGCCTCGTTCTAAAAATGACCTAAGTACCTAGGACGCTTAACGAACGCCATAATAGTACCTAATCTCATACGACTTCTCATTTCTGAATCAATTATTGAGGATGTAGTATCTTCTTCTTCTTGCTCTTAGGGTCAGCGCAGCATGTCTTCTTTTTATATTCAGGTCTATAATACGTCATCTTCATCTTCATCTATCATACGTCATTCACAACCATTCTATCGCATTATCGAGATCCACCAAACCTTTTACGACGCTTCCTCGCATTACCGTCTACTTTCACTCTGTCTTTTTTATTTGCCCTTGTAAGCAGACGAGCATATGGACCACCTGATGGTGAATGTTTATGTAGGAAAAAAAGCTTATGTAGGAAAAAAAACAAAAAAACATAAAATATATGTATTAGTTAGCTGACATATCAGCTAACTAAGCTTCCTTGAATTGCTGCCAAAATATGTAAAAGAGCTTTAATTTAATTGGATGAACGATACGAAAGTGCTTAGAACAAGAAGAAATCTAAAAAACCATTTTCTTAATTATAGGAAAGTTCTAAAGAATTTTTTTTTATTGCTTAGATGGATGGACGAGCTCACAGCCCACCTGATGTTAAGTGGTTACTGGAGCCCATAGACATCTACAACGTAAATGCGCCACCCACCTCGAGATATAAGTTCTAAGGTCTCAGTTTAGTTACAACGGCTACCCCACCCTTCGAACCGAAACGCATTACTGCTGCACGGCGGAAATAGGCGGGATGGTGGTACCTACCCGTGCGGACTCCCAAGAGGTCCTACCACCAGTGATTACGCAAATTATAATTTTGCTTGTTTGATTTTTATTACACGGTGTTATTATATTTTTTTAATTCAAAGTTACACTTGTCATTTCAATAGACTAGCATTTTGAACACAAGAAATAGCTCTCGTCGAACCTTCGCTTTCATGAGTTCCATATTCTTCTAGGCGATCGCTTTCTTTGAACCTTCGTCGTGTGTTATCAGCTAGCCCTATTTATGGTTTTTATCATGCACAGTCTGCCCCAAAGTCTCTAGCTTACATTGCTATATATACATATTAATGATAACATGAATAAAAGCGTATTGAAAAAGAAGTTCTCTTCTTTCGTACGAAAACTGAATAAATTTTATCCCTTTATCTTTCATATTTATACCGTTTTTTTCCTTAGACGGGTGGATGACTTGAGAGCCGACCTGGTACAAAGTAGTTACGGGAACTTATAGATATCAGCAACACAATTACCCTCACACACTTTGAGACACGAGTTCTGATCTCAGTTTTATAGTAAAACGACCTTCAAACCGAAGCAAATTATTGCTTCACCGCCGAAGCAGACAGAGTGGTAGTAGCTACTCGTGCAGACTCACAAGACTCCCTACCATCAGTGTGCTTAGTGCGAGTTTTTTAACGTTTTCGATAGCGTAAAAGTTAGCTCATATTCGTATGGAATAGGATCGTTTGCGTACGTTTGCTGTAGACACTGGTGGTAGGACCTCTTATGAGTCCGCGCGGGTAGGTACCACCACCCTGCCTATTTCAGCCGTAAAGCAGTAATGCGTTTCGGTTTGAAGGGTGGGGCAGCCGTTGTAACTATACTTGAGACCTTAGAACTTATATCTCTAGGTGGGTGGCGGCATTTACGTTGTAGACGTCTATGGGCTCCAGTGACCACTTAAAACCAGGTGGGCTGTGAGCTCGTCCACCCATATAAGCAATAAAAAATAAAAAGTTTGTCACTGGGGTCGCTGATCCAACTGCATACAAAATTTGCTTAACTTTCACGCTGTCGAGAACGTTAAGAAACTCGCACTAAGCCCACAGTAAGCATCCGCGAATTTGTTAGTCTATGTAAATTGGATGACTTTAAGCATGCCTAAGTCTCTAATATATATACATGTCTATTAAATAATAAGGTAAACGTTACTGTAACCAAGAGGTAATTTAATTTCGAATCGAAATTGAGAATCTTGAAATGAATTTCAACTTTCGTAATTTTGAGAAGAAAAATACCTATTATATGCCTATTACATTAATAATGTCACGTCCCAACGGCTGCTTTAAATATTTTCGCGCTGTTTCCAACTACATTTATCCATTACGAATGTTCATTAAATTATTTGATTGTTCGTAAAAACTTCTTTAAGGAATGCAGGAACATTTGGTTAGCGATACATAATTTACGCTATTTTTGCGGCAACCGATGAGTGTGTTATAAATTCTTTGTAATTGTCGACCGGTGCCTACGTCATTATGTGTTTAAATTTAAACGAAACAAATCCCTGATGACACCTAGAGATCTCATAATGAAATATTGATGCTTAATGAAATATTTTTGGCTCTCAGTTCGACTGGTTTCTATGGAGCTTCTCTTTCCGAAATCTTTTAGGAATATATATACAAGGAATGAATTTGTATTATGGCGGGATTTAGCCCTTCTTTTTTTTTCACATACATATAAACAAATGTGTGTTCTACCGTGGTACGTGTACGTCGACTCGCATCACAGCTTTCGATATTCATCTTTCCCCGCATAGCCGTATACACGGGTGGCCTTCAGCAAACTCATTGCCAGTTGAACCAAAATATTTTAATTTATGCTATAAAGAAGAGCTGTGTATAGTCTATGCCGGACGCCATTTTAGACCTCCTGCGTACATACTACACTGTTGTACATGAATACCATACACAGCAATATAGATGTTCTTTGTCAATTTAACTACGAATTAAAAGTCATATTACCTTCTGAAATAACAAACATTATCGTGGACCTGCATTTATTTGTCAAAACATTTCATTGACCTCGGAAAACTTGGATCGTGGGTACGGTTATACGATAGAACTAAAATGTTGTCCGCTGGATGCAAGCAGGACTATTTGTGGCGAGGCTTGGGGTAGGCCTATGTCCAGCAGTGGACATCTGTGGGCTGATAGAATAGAACAGAATGTTTCAAGGCGGTTGATATCTATGGCTAAAACTATTTAAAACCAGGTTGGCCGTCCGCTATTAATTTCTGAAGAAAAGACGAATGCAGGAATGCGGTGCACCGCCATCTATTGAACGTTGTTGTAAGTCCGTAACTTTTTAATTAAATGTCACTTTAGGGACTATCCTATGGAGGTTCACCTTGTAATTGAGATGACTGCAGGTCACAAACTCCTATCATTAATAAAAACCCTGCGGAACGTATGTGTGTTTTGTACCGTATGTTTTAAAGGAAGTCCTCTGAAGAATTGTTGGAAATTGTATCGTTTCAGGTAGCGGATAGCATTCGTACTTACTAGAACCACGTTTTTTTCGATTCCCGAGTTCTGGAATTAACATCCAAACAGTATTTTTCCAAGCACAATTTTCTCTGTCCACTGGTTGCTGGCCTAATGCTCGTGTGGTATCAAAGGCAATAAATTATAGAAAACTTCATAGCATTTTTTCATATTTTCTATTACATACGATTTTGATTTTCATGAATTCTAAAAGTACGCCATCTATCGATGAATTTCACAATTCTAATAAATTCGTGTCACTAAGTAAGCACCTACCTAGTCATTTTGTTGATTATTTTTTATTTGCACCTGGGGTGTATTATTACCATTATCATTATATATAGCCAGCGAATGAGTGATATTTATTTTAGAGGTCGTTACTGAAATGTTGAAGTACGTAAATGTACAATGTACATCTTACAAACTTATGATTCTACAAGTAATTATATAATAATCTCCTTGTTCAGAAAACTTATTTTTTTACTACTCCTTGATATTTTATCATCTTGGACTTTTACCTTGGGATATTGTTAAATTTGAAAATGATCCACTATCCGAATACAATACCCCAATACCCTATAAAAAATTTTTAATAGGTTTTTATGACCTGGTAACTAAGGCCCTTAAGTCATATCTTTACCCTATTAAAACAAGGAACGTATATAGATTAAATACCTGATATTAAGATTATATAGATTACACATCAAAATATTAAACTGTGACACAAATTTTAAGCAATGGTTGTCATAACAGAATCGATTAAAAATTTTTTTTTTTTAATAATTCATAAAATAATCATCTCCATACCCTTTACAATGGCTTGATTTATGTGATTTCAGATAATCTAATTGTATATTATAAAATATTAGCCAGAAGTTAAACTGAATGCGTACTTACTTCTAAAGAGGAAATAGTCAAACTAAAACATTCGAAATAACAAAATTGCTCGATGAGGACAGACGTCTCAATCGATTTATGATACAAAAATGCAGTCAAACAACTCTAGTAGGACGTTGAAGTTTGATTGTGTGCGTACTATACGTTAGTGATTTGATGGCCCACAAACAATTCTAAGCAAAACGATTAACAATTTGATTTGTGTATTAAATATGCATTCATTTTACTAAAATCCATCAAAGGGTTCCATTTAGTTTTAGTTGCACTTATAATTCTGGAAGAACATTTCATTAACGCGCTAATAAGTGAGCTAACAACTGTAGCTTCTTACTGTCTAAACAAACAGCTGTACTTGTGTGCCTACACACTTGTTGCACCTACTTTCAAAGACAGAATTTTACCCAGTACCTAAGAAAGTGAAACTGTTATTATAAACAAATAGTGTTTAATTAAAGTGAAATTCGTTTAATTTACAGTTAATATGTGTATTAACGTGAGGAAACCCGACTTTAAATCGTTATCGTAAAAGTTCGTTACGATGCACCTGCAGATCGCTGCATTTAATTGATTGCATCTTATAAATAGAGCACACAATGGTGTGAGCGTAATCCTGTTATTTTTCAACCAAGTGCCATCAACATAGGTGAAACAACACGAGCGAACAAGTCTGAAGGAATCAAGCCAAAAATGAGTCATATGCGGTCGCTGGCATGTTGATGTTTTGTTTTTTACGAAATACCAGATCGATGAGTAAAATCATGAATACAAAGACCACGGCTGTATAGATAAGTCATATGATGTCTTCTGAAAAATGTTTTAAATTTGGAATACCAAGAAAAACGTGTTGTTTTGGAGGGTTTTTATTTTAAAATTTTGTGTAAAATGTCATAAGGTTGCTTTAAAAATGGCACAAAGCTCAGTGGATTCAGACAGATTGTCTTCAGCTGGAATTTCGACACATAGTTCTGGTACTGCTGGAAATGTAGGAGGTTCAGTAGTGGGCGTGAGAGCTGGAGAACCAGGCCAGAAAAGACAGGATGAAGATGACTATGATTTGGGACCCCTGCCTCCGATGTGGGAAAAAGCATTCACACCTGCTGGTGAAGTTTATTTTATTGAGTAAGTTATCAATTAATTCAGTACAAAACCACAGCTTTATTAATTTGCAGCATATCAAATTACACAGAAAAATGAATAATGTCTTTAGTATCTCACATGTGTTTGTATCATCTTCAACCCACAGTAACAACACTGGTACTTCGCACTGGCTTGATCCAAGACTCGCAAGGGTCCGTAAACACTCTCTAGGGGAATGTGGTGAAGACGAGCTGCCATATGGCTGGGAAAGAGTGACAGACGAACGTTATGGTTCATACTATGTTGACCATATTAATAGAAGGACCCAGTATGAGAACCCTGTACTCCAAGCAAGAAGATTAAGAGGTATGTATGACTAATATACTACAAGGTATTGCTGTACATTATGATTTTATTAGGGACTCTCTGATACCTTTATATACATTTATTAAATAAGTGTTAGTAGATTTGTTCGTTGTTTGTTGCTGACTCATCAAAGCAGGAGTATGGCAAATTAAAAATATGACATTTTATAGTTTAGATTTGAAATTAAGCTGTACTCAAAAATAAAGAATTAAAATATTATTCATATTCATTATTCATATATTATTCAGATTTCATTTTCAATACCATTTATGATAAACTAATAAAAATAATTAAATTAATGTAATATTCATTATAAGCTCAACCAGTGAAATAATACTGCTTATTATATAGATAACTAGAAATTTCAAACAATTAAGAACCTTTTATTGTAGACTTATATTATTTTGGTTTGTGTCTGTTTTTCTTTGAGTAATATGAATCATCTAAGTGGGTTGAATGAATAGAATGACCTATTACTTATTCCATGAAAGTTGTTTTCCCAAAAGTTTTGTCACAAGTTCAAGTACAGAAACTATGTTTATCTTTCATTTATTTATCTATGTTGAATTTGAAAAAACCAGCCAAATATTTATTCTTGTAGAAATTTCTTGTAGAAAGATTTGGGTTTCGTTCCAATAACTGATGGAAGGCTCGTATTTTTATATTGAGCTCTTCAATTTCAATCTTTTTTGGGCATTATAAATGCATACACAGATATAATGTATTGTAAACACACATGGGTTGGTATCGCCAACCTGGTTGTTTGTCTTGAAGTGATCCGGTTACCTGTTTGAAGAGTGCGACAGGCATTCAATGTAGTTAATGACCTTTTCAGTCTCAGTTGTACCTTATGTATTGGTCCATTCGGGTAACCCCTGAAATCCAGGTGGGAGGTGAGCTTACTTTTTTTAAAATTGCTTCTACAGGTAGCTCATAGCTCACCTAGTACTATATGATCTCCGGAGCCTATATATATCAACTATGTTAATGCCTCTCAGTTTTTACAATACAACGCCCCACCCTTCAAATCGAAACGCACTTCTGCTGCACAGCAGAAATAAGCAAGGTGGTGGTACCCACCTGTGCGAGCTCACAAGACGCTCTACCGCATGTACTACAATATGTAAAAAGCCTTCTAAGCTACATTCTAAATATTGATGTTGGCAAGTGAAACAAGCACCAGAAGCCAATTTAGGTTCAATTTTTTTTTAAATTTGCCTCCAACGCCTTAGTTTTTGATTTGGCCAATGTCACAGTATGCACAAAAATGACAGGTGCTTAGAAAAAAGAACTAAATACAAATAAATTTGATCAGTTTATCTATACGCAAATCTATCATTTTAAGAACAGCACACTTAAGTTAGACTAACTACTTTAAAGATAAATATTTATTAAGTAAATAAAATATTACATAATATAATATTTACATGTTTAGAATATACTAAAGTTAATAGAGAATTAATCTTAATAGGCCGGGGGATGTATTTTGGAAGGATACCATAAAGAGGGGACACGATATTGGGGCAGTCAAAGAAAATGTGCTCATCCTATAACCATACCCTCATCCTATAACCACACCCTCATCCTATAACCATACCCTCATCCTATAACCACACCCTCATCCTATAACCATACCCTCATCCTATAACCACACCCTCATCCTATAACCATACCCTCATCCTATAACCACACCCTCATCCTATAACCATACCCTCATCCTATAACCACACCCTCATCCTATAACCACATAGGGTTAATTTATTTCCACTCGTTACCGAGTTGTCCGATGTCCGTGTGAAATGTGCCACATATATCCCCAGCGTTTTCCATCAGACAATCTACACTTTTTTTTATCTTACCTAAGCTGCCCTGAGAGGCTATATCAGCGTCGCCTTAACTAGTAGGTGAGCTCACGGGGCTCAAACCTGATGACGTTGCTAGCACGAACCCTAGCAAGAGCCGTGCTTCGCAGCAGAATCTACCACCGGATCGGAAACGCGACCCACTGAGAAGATCCGGCGAGAAATTCAGTGGGCTGTGTCTGAGGTTTAATTTACTCGTCTATCCCTTCGTCGCAAGCGACGGGTTCGACGAGAACGATGTTTGAGGTACCTAAAAGCACCATTAGTGGATCGGGAGGATCCGAAATGACGTGTTTGGGGCGACGTCGACTGCTTTCCATTCTGTCCGCATCTAAACCTTAGTCTTAAGTAATAACTCAATACAGCTAATTCATCTCTTAAACGGGCAAAGTAAAAGCAAACACGTTCACTAAAGCGTAACGCGGCATTAATTTTAACGGTATGCATATTAAATGGTTGCACTCACGCAATTAAATAAAAACACCGTCGTATGTCTTGTTCGGAATCTTCAAATAATATCTTTATGGTCTTAAAAGTAGAGACTATTTTTCATTATTTGATTATTATTTCTTTTAAACCTTTTAGTTTTACTAGTGTTGGTTGTTTATGCTGTTTAGTAATGTCTTAGTTTAATGACGTACTAATTGGACTTCAGCCAGTGCGTGTCTTTATCAGCTAAAATGGATTGACACGCTTACAGCCCAATGGTAATTTGTTCATCCACCTTCTCAAGTAATAGCCTCACTGCTAAGGATGATGGGCTCGACAAAAACGATGCAGCAAACTCTTCCGCTTGCTATGATCTTCAGATTGATTCTTTGACATTGGCACTTTGAGTTCTTTAACCATCACGTCTGACCAATGTGTAGGGCTCTTACCGTCTACACTGCCCTTAATTTTTCAAGACTATCTGACCGCCAGCATATCCGGCTACCGGAAGTTAGACAACATAATATTCATTGATAATGAATGTCTCATGGTGAGCTTTGAGACATGAGGTCGAAGTCTCATTATATAACGGCTGTCCCAAACTTCTAACTGATACGTATGACATTCGCGGCAGCAATACTGTGCTACCTATCCGTTCGGGCTTACTTCCCTACTATCTGTAAATCACAGTTGGCGACCTCAATTCGCTGGTACAGGCAACCCTGCTATAACACGGTAAATACGTACCTACAAAGTCCCGTGTTGTGCGGAACCGCGTTGTATATACAAGACTAGAAGCCAATACAAGAAGTAGAGTAATTTTTCTGAATGAAACATCTATACTATTATTATAAAGCTGAAGAGTTTGTTAGTTTAAACGCGCTAATCTCAGGAACTACTGGTCCGATTTGGAAAATTCTTTCAGTGTTAGATAGCCCATTTATCGAGGAAGGCTATAGGCTATATAACATCATGCTAAGACCAATGAATTGATAACTTCCTCTTTTGAAGTTGGTTAAAAAGTGTGATTTTGGTACCTTAAATAACTCCTTAACATGCTATTGTTCAAAAATATTTTCACTTTCTACGTAAATGAAGAGGCGGGTAAAAAATAGTGTTATACCGATGTAAGTATTTCACGCGGACGAAGTCGCGGGCAAAAGCTAGTTTCAAATATGCTGATTTCAGAAATAAAGCAAAAGAAAAGGATCATTCGTAAACTTGTTTAGAAATCAAGCGGAAAATATGTTTTGTCCATTGATTAAATAATCGAAAACTATTTATTCTTTTACAGCGGAGAAACTTGCTGCCGAGAACACCAGTAACGGTCAGTCCAATGGGCCGACACCCGGTGGAGAGTTACGCGGGAACAGATTAACAGTAAACCTCACCAAGGGACCACAGGTTCGTAACAAAATAATACTTTAGACAAAGAGCCACGAAGGGCTTTCAGGGACACGACCTTCAGCAATGAAGTATGCGACTAAGAAGAAAAACAAATTTATTTAACGCTGTTTTTATATTCTTACCTATGCTGATAGCCTTGAGAGGCTATTTCAGCTCCTCCTTGACGTGTAGGTGAGCTCAGGGGGCTCTAACTGGATGTGTTGCTAATACTGGCCCTAGCAAGAGCAGTGCTTCGCAGAATCTACCACCGGATCGGAAACGCGACGCATTGAGAAGATCCGGCGAGAAACTCAGTGGGCTGTGTCTGTGGGTTAATTTACTCGTCGAGCCCTTCGTCCCTGCTTGAGGTACCTAAAAGCACCGTTAATGGATCGAGAGGATCCGTAACGACGTGTTTAGGGCGACGTCAACTGCTTACCATTCGGTCTACAGGATCGGGTATGAAACGTTGTAATAAATCAGTGATGAACGAAAACTTAAAAAAATAATCCCATCTGACGTATTAATATGTAACGGTGAATACGATAAGGTAACAGCACAGTCGTGGCATCAGCGCGGTCCTCTGTTAGTGGATTCACGAATTAGATACGAAAGCACAATTGTACAATTCGGAATCACTTTGTAATAAAGCAATGAAGTTTGTTTATTTTTTTTTATGATGGTGGATGGTTATGTAGGAAAAAAAGCTTATGTAAGAAAAAAAAACATAAAATCTATGTATTAGTTAGCTGACATGTCAGTAAGCTTCCTTGAATTGCTGCCAAAATCTGTAAAAGAGCTTAAATTTGATTGGATGAACGATACGAAAGTGCTTAGAACAAGAAGAAATCTAAAAAACCATTTTCTTTATTATAGGAAACTTCTCAAGAATTTTTTTTATTGCTTAGATGGTTGGACAAGCTCACCTGGTGTTAAGTGGTTACAGGAGCCCATAGACATCTACGACGTAATTGCTCAGGCGGAACGTGACACTTTTTCATGCGTGGAACCTGTTGTTCATCGATTTATAAGACGTTATCACGTTAAATCGGAGACCCTTTTTGTTTTTCTACGAGTACCTAACTTTTTTTTTTTCGGACCGAGGGCCGAACCTCCTACGACGTCCCCGCGTCTAGGGGTCGCGCGAGGTATGTGAGACTCAACGATCTGCAGGTGTTTTAGGGCCCACCCACTAAACGACTCCCCTGCACTCTTACACCCGACGTCCGATCTCCGTCCGGGGTCAGAACCTGGTCAGAGTAGGAGGGTTCCCGCGGTCAACACTACAACGAGTACCTAACCTAACCTAACCTACCCTGTGCGTCTTGCCTAATAGGCCACGTCGATAATTCGATCACCCGCTGTTGCTGTGTATCTCTGTGTATGTAAATGCGATTATTCACCAAGGATTATTAAATAAATATGTCAATGATTTTATGAACAAACAAAAAAAAACAATTGCAACACATCAAAAAAATATGGAAATCGCTTCGTATTGTCGATATCGTATTTCTTGTAATTAGAAACTGCTGTATAGTCTTGCGGTATCTTCATACAGACTACCCGTGAATATAGATATTAAAACTAGGTTTCTCGTAAAAAAAGCTTTTATTGGAACTCGTGTGTGGGTTATTTTATCCGGATATATGACACATGGATACAAGAGATACCAATAAATAATCCAAAAAAGTAGTCAAATTAAAACTAGGTCCCCCGGTAGTCGAAATTAGACCATAATTAAGTGAAATTATAAGTTTGCATACTATTAAGATTCTATTGTCAAGACTATTATACTTCGATAATCACTGATTTCGCCAAGACTTTAGACAAACATTAAAAAAGACCAACAATATTTAATTTTTTTTTTAATTGGTTAGATGGGTAGACGAGCTCACAGCCCACCTGGTGGTAAGTGGTTACCGGAGCACATAGACACTCACAACGTAAATGCCGCCACCTACCTCGAGACATAAGTCCTAAGTTTCAGTTTTAACAGTACAACGGCTGCCCTACCCTTCGAACCGAAGCGCATTACTGCTTCACGGTAGAAACAGTCAGGGCGGTGGTACCTACCCGTGCGGACACAAAAGAGGTCCTACCACCATTATAATAAGTACTTTTTGAACTCGATTTGTATTTTTACGATTATAGTAAATAATTATGTTTTTTTTTCTTTCTTGTCTTCCAGGGTCTCGGTTTCACGTTGATCGGCGCCGAAGGTATACCGGAAACTGAAGGATACCTCCAGATACGCAGCATAGTCCCGCACAGTCCTGCCTGGATTGACGGTGCGTCTTTTAATCCTGTTCCAATCAATAGCGTCAATCAACCTAAGTGTGTAAAAAAAAAGATATGCTTAATCAGCAATACCGAAGTAATAATTAATTTCATCTTTTCATGGATGGAGTGTGTGAATGACGAATAAGAGAGTGAGAGGAATGCCCACTTTTAACGGTACAACGGCTGCCCCACCCTTCAAACCGAAACGCATTACTGTCCCACGGCAGAAATAGGCAGGGCGGTGGTATCTACCCGTTCGGACTCACAAGACATCCTACCATCAGTAATTACGGAAATTATAATTTTGCGGGTTTTGATTTTTATTACACGATGTTATTCCTTTCAATCGTGAACATTTGTCAAGTACGTATATCATTGGATAAATTGGTACTTGCCTGCGGGATTCGAACATTGATGCATCGCTACATACGAATGCACCGGACGTCTTATCCTTTAGGCCACGACGTAGAGATAAGAAACGCTGTCTTTAAAAAAAATATTTTCTATTTTTCCAGGCGAACTAAGACCCGGTGACGTCGTGGTTGGTGTAGGCAATCGCGGCGTGCGCGGCCTCACGCACGAGATGGTCGCGCAGATATTCCAGTCCATCACGCCGGGGACCGAAGTCAGCCTGCACCTAGTCAGAGGTACCTATTACACTTTCTTCCAGCTGGACACGGAACGAACTCACGAGCGCTCCGTTGTAAAAAATCACACAATTTCCGAATTTGAATTTGGAATTATCTTCTTTAAAAAATTTCTTAGGAGATTTTATGACCTGGTAACTAAATCCTTTAAGTCATGCCTTGTTTTAATTTATATTCTTATTTTTATGAAAACTGATAATATGGAGTGAAAGAAATTAAATGAAGATGATTAATTTAAGATATTAATCAACTAGGATGAAATTAAATGAAATGAAATGAGATAAGATGATCTGGAATTAAATATAATCTTAGTAAAATTACAGAGAAGTTACGTCCAGCGGCTTTGTTTAATTTTCCCACATTTGTGCACTTTCACAGATATTAAACAGTTAATAAACCACCGTTATTAGACATTTAAGCCTGAAGAAACACTAAATAGACAAAATAAAACAAATCGCACAACTTCACTCCTCGCGTTTAAAAAAAACACCAAAAGACTATAAAAAACTTTTTTCAGGCTACCCTCTGACGTTCGATTCGGAAGATCCGAACACTCGGGTGTTGAGCACTTTAGCAGTGGACGCCACGGCGCCGCCCTCGTCCGACGCTGTGGCGATGCAACAGTTAACTAGGGCCTTGAGAACTAGGTAAGTTTTAACTATTGTTCAGTCATATTTAATTAATACCAATAATAAGACAGGATTATATAATTTTTTAAACACAGCAGTATGCTCAATGCGAGTTTTTTAACGTTCTCGATAGCGTAAAAGTTAACTCAAAGGACATGGGCCATTTTCGGCCCAGCTAATAGTGCTCTAAGGCCTATGTCCAGCAGTGGGCAGATAAAGGCTGATGATGATGATGATGACTAGTGCTCTCAAGGACACGAATGAAATATCTATAGAAAAAAACATTTCATTTTTACATACTTATTATCAAATTTAAGTATATTTTAATGGTGGGATAGTTAAAATCATAAATAAAAAGAAATTAGCATGATTAAGCTACATTGATAATGTTGAAGGAGTTGCCATAGGTAAACTATATTTATATTTAAGCAATCCACATTAAATCTTCTTAAACAAGACATTATATTGCATAAAATTTGCAAAATATATTAACATATTTAATTAATGGATTTTAAAATTAATATAAAACATTATATCTAAACAAAAAAAAATAATTATACTTTTAAATCCTTAGAATAAATCATTTACATTGATCAATTTATTGATCATAAGCAAAAACAAAACTACGCTTGTTTAATGTTTATTGACGTTTTAAATTTGTTCAGTACTTTTCGCACTCGTGCGCATTGTGGATATTATTAAGTGTTTCGTTGCGATATACCTGCTTATTATATTTTGTTGTGCATAAAATTAAGTCTTGGCGTTCATTGAATTAGGTCTGTGTTATAAAGTATAACAATATAAATAATATTTAAGCTGATGATGTTAAAGTGTAAGTGTATTGACAGCAAATCATATAATATAGGTAACCTAAAAATCTTATCTTGTTTTTTAAATATCTCTGTATTTATTTATTTATTTTATTAGGCTCACAATACACATCACAAGCTAAAGATACATAAAAAACACAAATAAAAAGAAACAAAATCTGGCTTGCAACATAAGTTATGTGCGCACGACAAAACAAGACATATAGTGCTGAATTGTATCCCCATGAACAACATTGATTTTAATTTGTTTATAATAAAAGGGATATATGAGTCGACTATTATCAAAGGCGGCAATCTGACTTTTGGACAATGATTGGTAAATCAGAAAAACGAATTATTGACTTTGTATTCCATTGGCAGTCACAAAACTCTTCGGAAAGACATCTTAGATGGTATATGGATAACAGGTTAACTATTAACCTTTATTTAATGCAGGTTTTGAACCGTATTCTTTGAAGGAGACGATTATCTAATATATAAAATTCTCGTGTCACAGTTTTCGTTGCCATACTCCTCCGAAACGGCTTGACCGATTTTGATGAAATTTTTTGTGCTTATCCGGTATCTATGAGAATCGGCCAACATCTATTTTTCATCCCCCTAAATGTTAGGGGTAGTCCACCCCTAAATATTTTATTTTTATTTTTAGACAAAATTTTTAATTTCNATTATATATATAATTATTACTTTTAATAAATTAAAACAATTAATGTTTGGTATTTTGTTATTTTTAAACAACATTCCCTCATCGTTCACAGCGCTCCAGGCTTTTTTCACTCATATTCTACATCCTTAGACACTTCCAATAAGTTAGTATTTTAGAAATTTTCTAGAAATCTTATATATGGCAAGACACCGTTTGCCGGGTCAGCTAGTGTAAAATAAAATTACATAATTATATACTCGTACATAGAAATCATAAAATTAAATTATTGTAATAATGTAAAATACGATATATCATAAAAATCATAAACCGTAAAATCAGTTAATCTATACTAATATTATAAAGCGGAAGAGTATATTTGTTTGAACGCGCTAATCTCAGGAACTATTGGTCCGATTTGAAAAAAATCTTTCAGTGTTAGATAGCCCATTGATTGAGGAAGGCTATAGGCTTATATATTATAGCATCACGCTAAGACCAATGCAAGTGGAGTACCAATAAAGAATGCTTCAAAATAGGGGTTTAAATAGCTTCCTTAACATTCTATAATTCAAAAATATTTTCACTTTCTACGTAAATGAAGTGGGGGGTAAAATTTAGCGTTATGCCAAAGTAAATCAAATCAAATCAATTTTTTTTTATTCAACAAAAATGAATGTACATACTTGGTGAACGTCAAAAGAACTACCGCCAATTCACAAAAACTAGCCTCCGTCCTGAGAAGAATTGGCAAGAACTCAGCGGGCATGTCTTTTTTTTTTTATATTGGATTATTAACTTTTCCACGCGGACGGAGTCGCGGGCAAAAGCTTGTAGTGAAATAAAAATGTACAGTATTCGAATGGTGAAGTTTGTGATCAGGTTCAACCTGGACTCGCCTAACCACGAGCCGGGGGCGCAGTCCCGCGACGAGCCGGACAGCTCGCCGGGCGCCGCGCACAGCCCGCGCCGCCTGCTGTCCCGCTCCTTCGACCTCGACGAGCTGGGCGGGGCCGACGCCGCCGCGCCCCCCCGCTGCCCCTCCGCAGACCATCTGCTGTCCCTCGCTACCGGTACGCGCCCTGCCGCCTTCTGTTTCCTACCTATGCTGATAGCCTTGAGAGCCTATTTGAAATCCTTTTTGACGCGTAGGTGAGTGTTGTTAACACTGGCCCTGGCAAGAGCAGTGCTTCGCAGAATCTACCGCCGGATCGGAAACGCGACCCACTGAGAAGATCCGGCGAGAAACTCAGTGGGCTGTGTATGTGGGTTAATTTTCTGGCCGAGCCCTTGATCGGTGCTGTTTTCATGAAATCAAAATCTTGTAACTTGCGTAAATATCGTATAATCTTCAGTTGGCTCATGTATGCTTTCAACTAGGGTCTAGTTATTATTTTAGAAAGAGTTTCTTAGTAGAAAGAGTTTCCAAAGCTCAGTTTCTTGAAAACTCCTAAAGCTTTAGTCTCGCCGGTAGGCAGCGGCTTTTCGGTAGACAGCGGTTTGGCTCTGCCCCTGGCATTGTTGAAGTCCATGGGCGACGGTAACCACTCACCATCAGGGGGGTCCGTATGCGAGCGATCTTAAAGTGTCGTCCGGTGTTGTGTTGTCAGAGGTGCGCGCTGCGGATGGCGAGCCCGGGCGGGAGATGCGGGTGAGGCTGCGCCGCGGGGCCGCCGGCTTCGGCTTCACCATCGCCGACAGCGTGCACGGACAGAAAGTTAAGAAGGTGAAGCTCTCAAGTACTTTTATATTCATTAAGCTATTGCATAGCTTTTATCGCGGGCCTTGAGCGCGGCGACCGAATCATGAAATTCCGTAACGAAATAAACCTAACACCCCTCACTCCGCCTACCGTGTAGCTCGCGTTCAACACATTCACACGTTGCGCTTGTGTAGTGTTTGTGAATAAACGCGTGGTGTGACGTCACACTGCATGCGCATCATGAAAAGTCTGCCCATCTCTCTCTCGCGCGGTCTAGCTTATGAGTGTGAAGGGGACAGTTAAGGTTTTGCTTTTATTAATGTTTAATATAGCGTGGTCTTGTTTTAATATTAAATTATCATTGTCTAATTATAATTGCATAAGTTGATAAAAAATGCTTTGCAATAGCTTTACCGTGGCAGTTCCCGAGTGCCACACGTTTGTTTTTTATTTATTTTTTTAAGGATTACCAACAGGGTTTACAGTAAGACATAAAATAACATTGACATGTATAGAGCAATTGATAACTGCAACTCTAATTAGAGACAATCACAGCATGCATTACATTAATATATCAACAGAGATTTAACAATAATAATAATAATAATAATAATAAATAAAAGAAAGACAACAAGGACAGTAATGCCCGAGTACTCAGACGAAGGCTGAGGCTGAGGTTCAACAACAACTTTTTATAATTTTGTTCCTGTATAGTTAGTTTCTTTTCACTTTACAAAATATTGAGACGTGGCAGTCAATAATCAAACTTTTAATAATTTGCGCCTGCGTTCTGTTGGGCGGCGGCTGACGTCAGTCGTTTTAAAAAAAACACAAGTCCTCCCACAAAACGCTCACAATAAATGTTTGTATAATACTGGTGGTAGGACCACTTGTGAGTCCGCACGGGTAGGTACCACCATCGTGCCTATTTCTGCCGTGAAGCAGTAATGCGTTTCGATTTGAAGGGTGGGGCAGCCGTTGTAACTATACTGAGACTTTAGAACTTGTATCTCAAGGTGGGTGGCGCGTCTACGTTGTAGATGTCTATGGGCTCCAGTAACCACTTAACACCAGGTGGGCTGTGAGCTCGTCCACCCATCTAAGCAATAAAAAAAAACCTCTATTTCAGTTCTTTTAATAAATTCTGACACTGCGCGAAACGACTGAACTTTACGGACTGAACTGGCTTTTACTGCACTGTGACTATCTGTCAGACTGACTGACTGAGACTAAGAAAGACTGTGGAATCAACTGTGGTTTTGTTGCAGTGAAATGATACCACCAATCACAATTTTATATTTAATTAGCTGACCCGGCAGACTTCGTAGTGCCTCAATCGATAAATAAAAGACACATCAAGGGGACACATCAAAGGAAAAATAAAATTGTTTGTTTTTATATAATTCCGAGCTTTTTTATATTTTCTCACCTTTTAAACCTTCCGTGGACTTCCACGAATAATTCAAGACCAAAATTAGCCAAATCGGTCCAGCCGTTCTCGAGTTTTAGTGAGACTAACGAACAGCAATTCATTTTTATATATATAGATTAAAGAGCGAGCAAATACAAATGGTAATAGCGGAGCACCAGCGTATGTCTATCTGGAACTCAACCGAATGAAAACATTTTGCGATGCTCCAACGCAGGGCCGTACTCAGCGCAGGGTCGCACTCAAGCTCGCTACAAGACTGTAAGACTGAGACTGACATGATGACTGAGAATAGGCCGATGATTGAGACTTGCACGATGACTGTGTGACGCCCACGAGGCCGCCGCCGTTTTTATATTATTCTATAGTGCTTGTCTAGTATTGAATAACATCATCACTTGCAGGTGTTGGACCGAAGCCGCTGCGCCGGGCTGCGCGAGGGCGACTTACTGCTGCAGATCGGGGACGCGGACGTGCGGCACGCCTCGCACCAACACGTCGTGCAAGTTCGTACATTTTCTGCCTTAGCTGATGGTCTTTTGAGATCATTTCAGCGTACTCTTAGTAGGTGAGCTCACGGGGCTCAAACTTGACGACGTTGCTAACACTGATACTAGCAAGAGCAGTACCTCGCAGAATCCACCACCGGATCGGAAACGCGACCCGCTGAGAAGATCCGGCGAGAAACTCAGTGGGCTGTCTGTGTCTGTGGGTTAGTTTACTCGCCGAGCCCTTCGTCGCATGCGAAGGGTACTCCGGTGGCTATCCTACAAAAATAGGATTGTATGCTTTGAAAAGTTTTCAAGTTTGTATCACTATGCCTAGTGCAAGTAGTTTAACGTTCTCGATTGCGTAAAAGTTAACTTAAATTTGTATGCAATTGGAACAGCGCCCCTAGCGGCAAACGTAGATAAACTTTCTAACTGCATACAAATTTGAGTTAGCTTTTACGCTTTAACGTTAAAAAAACTCGCACTAAGCACATTGTAAAATCAACTGTACCAGACTGCTGCGTCGTTATCAACTTATGAAATATTAGCGATTTTATTTAGTAACTTTTCTAGATAAAGCCTTAAGTTAGTGATAAAGTCGATATTTGAAAAAAAATTGGTAAATTTATTCTCCCGTCTAAGAGATCGGCCCACCGCTCTGGTGAGGCTCATCAGCAATCCTAAAATAAAATCGACATCATGCTTGGTCACGATTTGTAAGAGCCCATAGACGTCAACTACTTAAATGCCGCCACCCACCTTGAGACATGAGTTCTAAGGTCTCAGTTGTAACAGTATGACGGCGGCCTCCTCAAACCTAAATGCATTACTGATTAACGTCAGCAATAGACAAAGCAGTGGTACGTAGCTCAAAAGACGCTCAGCCACAGTAAACTATATAGTATATACATATCGTAAGAACACGCTGATCTGCAGGTTCTGAAGGACTGCCCCGCGCTGCACGAGACGTCGCTGCGGGTGTGGCGCCGGGGCGGGGGGGGCCGCGCGCCCCGCAGCCGCTCCGCTACCCGCCCGCACCCCGCGCCTGGTGAGCGCCCCTACCTATACACATCATCAACAAATGTGCAATTCCCTAGTCCGAGAATATTCCACACATCTCTAGTATTGTTTCCGCTATCTGACAATAGATGGCGTTGTACCTCTCGAGCGCTCTAGGTGCTACTAGATCCTTCGATATTCATTCGACTATTCGGCGATAGATGGCGTCACTTTTACCAGCATAACAATGTTAACAAGAGTTTTTGAAGTGAAACTTCTTTATCGGCGTTGGAAAAAAAATTACCGTCACATTTTTCGGTTACGCGTCACATTTTTCCGCTACGCGCCATCTTTTTCTTCACCATTCATTGTTGCCGTACACAAGTGAAGGTGCCTCTTTACTCGGTAACAATAATTATAAAATACCGATGATTTTAAGTGGAGATTTTAATGTAAATTTTGCATCGGAAAATTCTTTGAAGCTAGTTGAATTTCTGAAAGATAAATTGAATTTATCCATGAAAAACAGTCCTCAAACGTCAACAACAAGATCTGGCACTACAATTGATGGAGTTTTTACTCGGTCACTAAATTTCGTGGAATGTAAACCATATATTTCATATTTCAGTTACCATAAGCCATTAATTACAAAAATATATAATGACAATGACAATGATAGTAATAATTCTATTACAATTAATGAAATGCTGTAATAATCTTAGTAGCAAAAAGGTAAAGTGAAATAATTGTATTATTTGTATTCATGTCTATGATAATAAAATCCTTTTGTTTAAACTTTATCTAATTTAACTTTATTTAACCAATTTCTAGAAAGTTGCATGTAGATCATTTTTCGAAAAATAAGGCCATAAACAAGTTTCACTTCTTACGTGTGTACACTAGTACACGCACACATTTTTTTTGTTGATGACTTAACATAGTGGTAACGTGTAATTGTTACTATCGACAGCGGCGTCGGGCGGAAGCCAGCTCGGCCGCAGCAAGACCCCGACGGCGGAGCAGCTGCGGTCCCCGGGCGCACCCGCGTCCCAGCGCGACGGACTCGACGGCGCCATGAACTCCGGTACACGCGCACCGACCACTCGCTGGCTTTATAACTGGATTATTTATTTATTGCTTAGATGGGTGAACGAGCTCACAGCCCACCTAGTTTTAAGTGGTTACTGGAGCCCATAGACATCTACAACGTAACTGAATATAAGTTCTAAGGTCTCAAGTATAGTTACAACGGCTGCCCCACCCTTCAAACCGAGACGCATTACTGCTTCACGACAGAAATAGTCAGGGTGGTGATACCTACGCGTGCAAACTCACTAAAGGTCCTACCACCAGTAAATAGAACTGATTAATGGAATTGATCACAATAACAAAACCTTTTTATTACGTAGATGGCTGGACGTGCTCACGGCCTATTTTTGCATGGTTACCAGGCCCCATAGACATCAACATAAGGTTTACGTCTCGATTGTATAGTAAAACGGCTGGAACATCCTTCAAACCGCAACGCATTACTGCTTCGCGGCAGAGAGCAGGGCGGTGGTATCTACCCTTGCGAACTCACAGGGTCATAAGGGCACGATTAATCGCTTCTAAACAGGAAATATCATATGCATAGTATTATTATACTACTAACTGTAACCGTCTACTTCGCTGGGCATTTAAAATTAACATTATTATTTCTCACCCCCACAAAGATTCTCATCATTAACGCCCCCGCAACTGGTGTAGGGAGGCCAACACTCATATAAATATTAGCCTATCCATTAAGTACATGTATATTCTACATGGATACCAAATTTCAAGTATATCGGATGCTTGGTTCAGTAGTTATAACGGAACATCCGTAAAAACCACTGTAGATTTATATGTTAGTATAGATCAGTGGTTCCCAAACTTATTTGGTCTACTGCCCACTTTGAGAATACATTATTTTTTTAGCGCCCCTATTTTTTCACCTACTTAAAAACCACTATAGCCAGAGCTCACTCGGTGCTTAAGAGTCCTCCTAGATAAAATTACAAATCGCCTCCCAAGCCTCTACAACACAACACCACCATTTTTTTCTGGGTTTCTTACACCCCCCTTTAGGCCTACAGCGCCCACGAGGGGGCGTTATCGCCCACTTTGGGAAAGGCTGGTATAGATGATAATACGTTTCAATAATTTAATCTTACATTTATGAAGATTTATTCTAGCGGTGAGTGGTTATAGATGTCCCCCCACCCTCCCCCCAAGTTCAAACAAACACTCAGAAGAGTCGCTTATTGACCACGGCTGTGATTGTGCAGTGGAGGCGACGTACGCGGTACCAGAGCACAAGGGTCGGGACCGCGAGAGCCTGATGGACCGCCGCCGCCGGAGCAGCACCCCAGGTTAGCACCGTTATAATATATATGCCCCTCAATAATAATGCAGACTGTGGGTGACTCACATGTATTTATTAATTTTATAATATTTTATTATAATTACACTACACAACAACACATACATACTTTATTTTATATCAACACATTCATTTATCACGTCGGGGTCACCAGTTTAGTTGTCTTAAGTTGTAATAAAAACTTTATTTGTGTCCATATGTGTTTGCAAAGACTTTATATTACAACTTAAGACAACTAAACAGACTAATCAATTGGTCGCGCAAATCCAGCAAACAATTCATAACGGCCGTCTGGTGTAGTGGTAAGTGACATGGTCACTACATAAGGGGGTCGCGGGTTCGAATCCCGCCAAGGGAAGATATTTGTATGATAAATATAAATGTCTTTTCCAGCGTTATGGATGTATATTAAATATATGTATGTGTTTAATAAAAATCTTACATTTATTTCTGTTATCTGGTACCTGTAACACAAGTTCTTTACGAACTTATCACGGGACCTGTTAACGTGGCGTGATTGTTAGTAAATATTTATTATTTATTTATTTATTATAATGATTATCAACTTACGTCAAGCCTATTCATGGTACTTTTGCATCGTGCATCGTGCGTGGCCTTGGGACGCAAGGAAGCAATATGGAACGTGTATAGAACGCTTAAGGCCTTCCTGATTGCATCGTCTCTATATAAAGATGATTTATAGCTAAAGCGCCACAGAACAGAATTAGCTTGAGCAGCGGAAACACATATTTATTTATTTATTTATTTAAGGATTACCGACAGGGTTTACAGTAAGACATAAAATAACATTGACATGTATAGAGCAATTGATAACTGCAACTCTAATTATAGGCAATCACAGCATGCATTACATTAATATATTAATAGAGATTTAACAATACTATTAATAATAATAAAAAATTAAAAACAAAAGAAAGACAACAAGGGCAGTAATACCCGAGTACTCAGACCAAGGCTGAGGCTGAGGTTCAACAACAACTTTTTATAACTTTGTTCTTAAATATTGGAAGGGAATCGCCAAATATGTCAAGGTTTTCAACTTTTCTAACAAGATTATTATAAAGGTTAGTTAGACGAGGAGTAGGTGAGTGCTTGCCTAGATTGGTTCTGCTAAAGCGGGTGCTGAAAATATCTTTTGTACTATTTCTTTTATAAAATAAACTCAGTGTCAGTCGCAGTTTCCTTTTTTGAAAAGAGCTCCTGAAATGCACCCCGCAACACCAAGCTTCATAATCAAATACAAATCACTGACCTAGCCAACAAAAACCCATAAAGTACAAAAAATGAAACACTAATATTGAAATTTATTTTAATTGGACTTGTGGGCAGACGAATATACCAACCGTGATAACTGTCGCTGATGGACATCAGCAATCCCATATTTATGTATTTAAAAAAAAAAGTTTCTAACGTTGTTATTTTGTATCTTTTTTGGTATCTCGATCTCTGGACTATTGTTAGCTTAGATTATGTAGAACTAATGAAACTGAAATTGAAATTGAAAGTGAAATTTGTCACTTCAGTTCACACATGTTCAAACTTTTCAAAATGAAAATTTTAATTTAATATTAGTATTATTATTAATTGTTGTTGTAATTGATTTTTTTCTGAACCCCATTTTTTCTCATACAACATAAAAAAAAAACAATACAGAATAATATCTATGTATTATACCGTAAAAGTTAATCAATGAATCCATTGTTTTTACTAATTTAAAGAAGAAGAAAAAAAAATTAAATCCCAGGCGGTCGTCTCACTCTTCCGACGGTGACGCCGTGGACGGAAAACGCGTGGCACGAGAGAGACAACTGGCTGGACAACGGCAACGTGCAGAACTGGAACGGAGCGCCCTGGGAGGGAGGGGACGCCTGGAACGGGAACTGGGGGGAGGTCCCCACCCCCACCGTGCACGTCGACGTGAACGCGCCCTACTGGAGGGGAAACGCCAGTCTAGCCGACAGTAGCGATAATGGAGGTTAGTTTCTACACGCTGGAAGAACGGCGTACTACCACCACTACTCTGCCTATTTCTGCCGTGAAACAGTAATTCGTTTCGGATAAAAGGCGAGATTAAAAGGCCGTTGTACTATAAAAAACTGAGACTCATGTCTCAAGATGGGCGGCGGCATTAACATGGTTGATGTCCATGGGCTCCGGTGACCATTTAACCTAGGTAGGCGTAAGCTCTTCTACCCATCTTAGCAATAAATAACATTTAAAAACTTAACTACGGTCCACAGTACAAGATGTTCTTGTTTTCACGAAGCTAAAGATTATCTTCACATCTCCTTTGAAGGACATGTCATAGGACGCGGGGGTAATCTCTGGAGGGCAACACAAATAATAGTTCCGTTGTTCAGGTTTCCCAGAAGACGGGATGCTACACTCACCAACCACAGCTGCTATCGGCGGTCTGACCACGCACAGACAGTCACCGTCCGCCAACAGATTGAGGCCGCATTCACCGGCCAACTCCACGGGTCAGTGCTAACAAGGAATGCGTAATTTAAAACCAAAATTTAATGTTTTACGACAATTATGTACTTGAAGTCGCAATTGTTATGATGTTGCGTCACATACACCAGTCGCCGCCTGTGACTAGACTAGACTTTGCTCATCACATCCAATTAATTCTCATTCATGCTCATGACCATTTGCGAGAATATAATTCACTAATACCATAAAAAGTGCACGGGCACGTACGCACGCACGCACGCCAATCTGCGGCGCGGCCGGTGTGAACATATGATCGATTTCTATAGCGGACAGTAATAATTGTAATCAACAACAATTATATATTTTAAAAATATTCCATTATATATCTACTCTAATCTATTATAGAAATCTACTTATATTGATGTAACTTTTGTCGAGCGAGGTCAAAAAAAAAACGGTGCGCGTGCAACTTGGTGCACGTGAACTTCTTTATCGATGTGTATTGTGGTTTTCTTTATTTTTCATCTTTAAATCAGATTGCTCTTGTAATAGGGAATGCTGTGTATAAGAGATGAGCAATCTTCAACGTTTATTTTATATATATTTTAAATTATAGATAGATTTTTTTTAATACTTCTTTAATATATTGGAGGCTACTCGTTGCTAACGCTCGCGCTGACCTGTAACAGGTATACTACCCGCGTGCGTGCGAGTGCCACGCATTCACTCTCTTTCTAGTATGGTAGCGTTAAACGTTTAACGCAACCTTGTTGGAAGCCGCATGAGAAGTCTCACTTCAATAAAAAAATATTAAAGAAGTTCGTCTTCCAGGACGTTTGCGCAGCCACTCGCCGTCCAACAACAGCGCAACGGAACGGCTCTTGGCCAATTCGCCTTCGACCAGACTGCGGAGTCAGTCTCCGTCAAACAACTCTTCCAATAGTCGAGTAAAGGGATCGCCTCTGAGGTACATTTCTCATACTTTTACTACTCTTTTAGTTTATACAATTGGTTTGATGGGTGAATAAGATATCATTCTATCTACTGTATACCGGACGTAGACATCTCAGCGTAAACGTCGCCAGCCCGGGACATGAGATTATAGTCTCATTTGTCTAACGGCCGCCCCACCCTTCAAACCGGAACGGGTGATTGCTTCGCTGCAGAAATAGGCAGGACGATGGTAATTATTCGTGCTGGTTTATCATACGGTCGACCACAAGTAAATGTCGATTGGAAATTGAATTAATTTGATATAATACTTAGAGAAGGCAGTCAGTTCTCACGACTCCCACTGGGAGTGATGACTGCATTTATAATACTATTTATTTAAATAATTAATAATTGATCTTCACAGAAGTCGAACCGACGGTAGTAGTTTCTCTGACCCGGTAACTAAGAACTGTAGGTCAAGTCTTATTTATTTATTTATTTAAGGATTACCAACAGGGTTTACAGTAAGACAAAATAACATTGACATGTATAGAGCAATTGATAACTGCAACTCCAATTAGAGGCAATCACAGCATGCATTACATTAATATATCAACAGAGATTTAACAATAATAATAATAAATAAATAAAAAAAACAAATGAGTTATTTTTATTCTTATTTTTATGAAAAATGATAAAATGGAATGAAATGAAATAAAGATAATTTGAGACATTAATCAACTGAGATAAATGAAATGAGATGTGATTATATGGGATGAAATATAATCTCAGTAAAATGGTGGTTATTTACTGAGACTTTTTCAGTTGATTTTTTGGAGGATCCCGAGAAGCTACGTCCAGCGGCTTTGTTTCATTTTCCCACATTTGTGCACTTTCACAGACATTAAACAGTAAATAAACCATCGTTATTACATATTTAAACCTGATGAAACACTAAATAGATAATATGTACAGCGTGTTACTAAAACACATTTTTATTAATTCCTAGTAAATATAAATAAATTCATTTTTTTATTAGGTTACGTGAATCTTCGCCGCCGAGACACATGCACTCGCCGTTGAGACAGTCGCCATCTTGTTACGACGCCGACTCATTGGCTCAGTCCAATACCGTCTACGTGCCGAACTACCCGCAGGTTAGAAATTAATTATTAACTAACTTTATAAGTTACTACCCCGCTTCGCTGGCCATTTAAAATTAACATTATTATTTATTATCATTATTATTAAGGAGTCCAACCCTATATAAATATTAGCCACTGACTAACTTAATGACTGAAAACCCTTACCAAAACATCATTTAATGAGTGAATTCTGGAGAACAGCTGTCAAGGCTTCAATAAACAAGGATTCCACATGACCACGACTGTTCTGCCAAGAGTAGCCGCCTATGATGATGATGATGAAGTCACGGTGGGTTTTGGCAATCATATTGGAATGCCTAGAGGCTCTGACACCTGCTTAGTATAATATGACCAATGGGCTGCACATAAAGCATGTATGTTTGAAGGGTAGAAATTATATCTCAAGGTGGGTGACGCATTTACGTCGTAGATGTTTATGGGCTCCAGTAGCCACTTAACACCAGGTGGGCTGTGAGCTCGTCCACCCATCTAAGATTTTTTTTTTATCAAAAAACATAAACTTCTTTATGGTAGGCAGCAGCTTGGCACTGCCTCTGGTAATGCTGAAGTCCATGGGTGACGGTAACCACTCACCATTAGGTGGGCCGGGTTCATATGAGTCGTCTATTATCAAAGGTGGCAATCTGTGCATTTGGACAAAAAAAAAATTATTGATATGTCAATACAGATTGATTTGAATATAATCGTCTCCTTCAAAGAATACGGTTCAAAACCTGCATTAAATAAAGGTTAATAGTTAACCTGTTATTTATCTAAGATGTCGTTCCGAAGAGTTTTGTGACTGCCAATGGAATACAAAGTCAATAATTCGTTTTTCTGATTTACCAATCATTGTCCAAAAGTCAGATTGCCGGCTTTGATAATAGTCGACTCATATATAAGGGTAATAAAAAGAAACGTCTATATAAGACCTGAGGATGAGGGAGGAGTCACAAAAGTATTTCGTTCACAGGTCGAAGCCGGTGGCACGACGGATCCTGAAGCGGACGTGCTGGTGCGGCTGGGGCGCGGAGCCGCGGGGTTCGGGTTCCGGATCGTGGGCGGCACGGAAGACGGGAGCAGAGTGGCTGTCGGCTACGTCGTGCCGGGTGTGTAAATACCCTCAAAAATAATATTGTAATTACTAGCTGACCCGGCAGACTTCGTAGTGCTTCAATCGATAAATAAAAGACCCAAACTATTGTATAAAATAAACTTAAACAAAACGAATCCGTCCAACGGGGGACACATCAAAGGAAAACAAAATTGTCATTTTTATTTAATTCCGAGCATTTTCATATTTAAATAACTTTTAAACCTTCTCTGGACTTCCACGAATAATTCAAGACCAAAATTAGTCAAATCGGTCCAGCCGCTCTCGAGTTTTAGCGAGACTAACGAACAGTAATTCATTTATATATATATAGATTTAGTTACGGATTTTTGGTTGAGGACCACTCAACTAGATAATATCGTCGTACTGTGTCTCTTTCAAACAACGGCGTCATGCTCATGCAACACAGCACAGTCTTTTTGTCTCACAGTAGAACCGGCCGTATTTACACTGTGATGCTCATGAGCAGCGGCAATAATTAAATACTAAGTGAATTGAGAACCCTCTTTTCTATGCAACCGGTCATCGTTCTTTCTCGCTCTTGTTCTCAATTCACGAGTAAATTAACCCACAGACACAGCCCAGTCTCAGTTTGAGATCCGGTGGTAGGTTCTGCGAAGCACGCCTCTTGCTAGGGTTCGTGTTAACAACGTCGTTAGGTTTGAGCCCGTGAGCTCACCTACTAGTTAAGGTTACGCTGAAATAGCCTTTCAAGGCTATCAGCTTAGGTAGGAAAAAAACCTATGCACAATACGGTAACCGCATTTGTGGCGCGGGAACCAAACTCTCGATATACTAGGTTGAAGTTTCAATAGCGCTAAACTAAATGGATGTGTTAATGCAACAAGCGCGCACGCATAACGAGTACATTAGTATCGTGTAATAAAAATCAAACCTGCAAAATGATAATTTGCGTGATAGAGCAAGAGCCCGCGACAGCCAGACCTTCGTTATTTTATAAAAGCTGAAAGTTTCTCTGTGTATGTCTGCAACACAGGTAAGAACGACTCGCGATTATAGAGTTTCGATTGTGGTTACTTGGGCAGGTAACAGGCAGTAAAGGTATATAAAATAGTACCTTAAATTCGTTGAAAGTATAAAGGTTTTTTTTTTAATATTTACTCCAGAATATCTTTAGAAATCACGATATCGGTTGCCGGACACTTTTTCCAGTTGTTACCCCCTGCCAGACACCCCTACACTTTAATAAATTTTAATTATACTTTCGTTATACTATAAAAGCTAAATTTTATATATGTTACTTAGGGACTTATAAAAATATGTTACCCCAATAGCCGGACAGTTTTAATGGTTCTTACATCTTGCCAGACACATTGAAAGCCCGCTGTAGGTGCGAGCGCGAGGTAGCAACTGTTCAAGCGGGTGTGAGCGAGATAGAGTGCTTAGTCTATTGTGATCTGCACATCAGCTGTCGTTTATAGGATTTATCCGTTCTAAGCAGTGATATCGAGGCGCTACTCGGCATGGGAAGCTCTGTCATTCTGGTGGGCGACCTAAATTGTAAACACATCAGGTGGAACTCACACACCACAACCCCTAATGGCAGGCGGCTCGACGCGTTAGTCGATGATCTCGCCTTCGATATCATCGCTCCGCTAACCCCGACTCACTACCCGCTAAATATCGCGCATCGCCCGGATATACTCGACATAGCGTTATTAAAAAACGTAACTCTGCGCTTACACNTATTCCTATTCTAGCGTATCTATTTACGGACATTTCTGTTTTAACGTATTATCTATTTATTCTCTATTTATTTATCGCGGACATTTTCTATTATTTTACAACTATCTATGTGCATCGCGAACAATATCTATTTAACTATTTTCAATCATTTATGTCCGTTCGGGAATATCTTATTCTAACTATGTTTCTTTATGTCCGTCGCGAACAGTCTGATTTCTTAGAAGGACTCGCGCCCTCTCTAAGACCACCGCTTAGCTCGTACTCTCAAATCGGATACGGTAGTAGCTATGCCCCCCCTCGTAGGCCCCTCAGGCCGACTCGACTGAATAAGGCGATATCAATATCGCCTTATTCATCAGTTCAATATCGACGACAATGAGGAAAATTATAAGAACGATTAAATATTTTTCTTTGACATGTAATATTTTGTTTGTACTTTATAATATTAAAATAACATTTTTTATTTTCTATAATATTGCTATGAACGTAGTAAAATAATTTTTTATTGGATATTTTAAAAGATCACAATAGACTAAGCACTCTATCTCGCTCACACCCGCTTGAACAGTTGCTACCTCGCGCTCACACCTACAGCGGGCTTTCAATGTGTCTGGCAAGATGTAAGAACCATTAAAACTGTCCGGCTATTGGGGTAACATATTTTTATAAGTCCCTAAGTAACATATATAAAATTTTGCTTTTATAGTATAACGAAAGTATAATTAAAATTTATTAAAGTTTAGGGGTGTCTGGCAGGGGGTAACAACTGGAAAAAGTGTCCGGCAACCGATATCGTGATTTCTAAAGATATTCTGGAGTAAATATTAAAAAAAAAACCTTTATACTTTAACGAATTTAAGGTACTATTTTATATACCTTTACTGCCTGTTACCTGCCCAAGTAACCACAATCGAAACTCTATAATCGCGAGTCGTTCTTACCTGTGTTGCAGACATACACAGAGAAACTTTCAGCTTTTATAAAATAACGAAGGTCTGGCTGTCGCGGGCTCTTGGGCTATGATTACTGGTGGTAGAACCTCTTGTGAGTCCGCGCGGGTAGGTACCACTGCCCCGCCTATTTCTGCCGTGAAGCAGTAATGGCGTTTCGGTTTGAAGGGTGGGGCAGCCGTTGTAACTATACTGAGACCTTAGAACTTATATCTCAAGGTGGGTGGCGCATTTACGTTGTAGATGTCTATGGGTTCCAGTAACCACTTAACACCAGGTGGGCTGTGAGTTCGTCCACACATCTAGGCAATAAAAATATATATATATATATATATATATATATTTTTGTCCCACGCACCACTCTAGTTTGGTCCGTTCGTCTTTCGTAGTTCAATCTGTTCAACTTTGGAATTCACTTCCTCTTAATGTTAGGATGATCACTGATCGCCTAACTTTCAAAATAAAGGTACGCCAACTTTTTCTGGAGAAACTTAAAAACTTAAAAACTTAACAATTTGACGTGCAATTTGTGTTCTGTGCAATATACTATTTTCTTGTACGATATATGTATGTATGTGTGGTTCTATTTCTTTGTTATATTTTTGTTTAAGTGTGTATATGAATATGTATGTGAGTATATGATAGAGATTATATATAGATATATGTGTAAATTTTATATTATTATCATGATATAAAATTGTGTACGTTGTTTGTGTGATTATATATATATATCCTGTATGTGTTTGTATATTGTATAATGTAGTTTGGTTGTTTCACATTAAGTTATGCACCTACCACAGGATTCTCTACACCACCCTTGGTTGACTGGTAGAGAATGCCTCAGGCATTAAGTCCGCCATTGTACTTATGTGCATTAAGTTGAATAAATAAATAAATAAATATATATAGTGGTAAGTGACATGGTCACTACACAAGGGGGTCGCGGGTTCGAATCCCGCCAAGAGAAGATATTTGTATGATAAATATAAATGTCTTTCCAGGGTTATGGGTGTATATTATCTGGTACTTGTAACACAAGTTCTTTACGAACTTAGCACGGGACCAGTTAACGTGGCGTGATTGTTAGCAAATATTTATATTTATATTTGTTTAACATAAGATTTAAGTCGATACATGAAGATACATTACAGGAGGCGAGTTAAAAATGCTTCTTTTTTATATATATTGTGTAGTAACTAGTTGTTCGTCCTGCAGGCGGGCCGGCGGAGGGGCTGGTCCGCGCGGGGGACCTGCTGACGTCAGTGGACGGCGTGCCCGTGACGGGCGCCACGCACCAGCGCGCCGTGGCGCTCGTGTGCCGCGCCGCGCACCGCGGACACGTAAGCCGGCCTCGGCCTTGGACTCTCTCAGCGTTACTTCATGAACTGTGACGTCATTTGTGCTTAACTAAAAAAAACAGCTGACTAGATTGCACACAATGACGTCTAGCCTAACTTAAAGAAACGTTGAAAGATTTGCTTAGTTTTATAAAATATAAATCATTGATGTCAAAAATTGTATGAGAAGACAGAAAGCAATCTGTTCTGCAATCAGTGCCCGGTGGTGGTTAATATTAAGAATGTGAACATTCTCAACGGTCGGAGGAACTAGTCTTTACGTAAAAAATAATTAGGATATAAATCTTTTAAATTTCTTCATGATTGAAATTTTTAAACATGTTAAAATATTGATGACGTTACTGCCATACCGATGAACCACATGTATTTTCAAAGCATTAATTGTCACGTTACTGTTTTAATGTTGTCATTGCAAAAACCTTCCTTTCGCGTATAGAATAACGTACAAAATCAAATTACAAAGAAACATTCGTGTTCTAGAACTGAGCAAAAATTTGAAAGTAACGAATTTTGACAATCGTGTTTATTTATTTATTTATTAAGTTGCACCAACAAAGTGATCATCAATACAAAACATTGAAAAATTGACAAAAGTTCATGGCAAATGTCATCTCAATTATAGGTGCAATCGACAGTGCATTAACAACAAAAATAAATAAAAATTATATAATTAAGGTTTGATTAAATTTGATTGATTGCTTAAGATTAATTTATATTTATTTATTATATAGTATTTATATATTATATAGTATACTTTATAAAATAAAAAATAAAAAAGCGCTTTATTCCATGCAATCAATTTTTTTTTGTATATATAGTATATATATTATATGCATGGTAAAGGTAAAGCTCTCCGGTAAAGGCCTCCTCCAAAGATTTCCATTTTGTTTTGTTTCTGCCGACATAAATCCAGTGTGGTCCAGCAACTTTTCTAATGTCGTCCTCCCAACGCGCCGCTTGCCCTGTGGACCGTCCCATGCACTTACTTTAGATGTCCATCTCCCATCCCCGAGTCGAGTTACGTGGCCAGCCCACTTAAATTTCAATCTTTCAATATAGTATATATAATATAGTCCTATTTTACTAATACTTTATTGTAAAGCGTTTCGTTCGTAATGTTATGTTTGTGTGTGCAGGTGACGCTAGGGGTGCGACACAACCGGGCGGACATACAGGCGATGGGCGTGCCGGCGATGGTGGCGCCACACCCCATGCTCAAGTGAGATCAACAATAGTTTTGATTGAATGATTACTGGTGGTTCGGAGACCTTTCCAGTATCACCAGGATAGGTGGGCGAGCAAAAGCTCAGCCAAGAGGAGTGGGATTAGCCAACAGCTGCCCGAGAGTCTCCGAAGGACACCTAAAAACTCAAGAGTAGCTTCGCGAATGAATCTGCTACCAGATCGGAATCGCGACCCACTGAGAAGATCCGTCGAGAAACTCCTCCTAAACGGCTGAACAGATTTGAATGACTTCTTGTATGCATTTCGGTGGCGCTCTGGATGGTTCAGAGTCATAAATCAGCCTGGCAGATGGCGCTGCAGTCGGTATCTAAGCTATTTATCTATACTGCAACTAAACGGCTGGATCAACTTGAATTTTTGTATACGCATTCACAGGACAACGTCCGCTAATATAAATATAGATACGAGTACTAGCTTTCATAGTGTCTACAGATCGCGACAAACTAACTTGAGTTAACAATGAACATAAAGTACAGTCTGTACGATAACATACAAACTAACGTGTTCGTTCCCCGCAGTTCGGACGCGGCGCCGCACCCCGCGCCCGCGGCGTCCTACAGCATACTGCACCCCGCGCCCCTCTACCCGCCCGCGGCCCACCAAATGTAAGGAACCTCACCCACTCCACACCATAGTTATTTGCAGGTCGAGTTTGTTGTCATGTCGATATCAAAGTCAGTCCTGGCAACTGGAGCAAATATAGTCAGTGTAATTACAAGTTTGTGTGGAGCCCCCCCGGGACACCAGGCTAAGTGGCCCCTTGCTGTGTTGTGCTGTACAGTTAGTGTGTGCCCACAGTGCGTGTGTTTTCATCTAGCGGTGCTGCTTCGGGTTGGAGACATTCCGAACAGCGTAACGCAGGACCCGGGAACAGGTGAGTTGATTGACACTATTCTATTCTTAACATTGGTTAATAGCGGGTAGGTGTCGATNCAAGCCCATCGTATTATGTTTATGTATATATTTTTGTCGATGTGGAGTGCGCCGAACGCGCATACGAACAGCCCCCCTAATCATCCCGTCTTGCAACACTTCACCCCTGCCCTGTGTGGCAGGGAGCTTCGTTCCGGGCAGTGGGGTTTGCCCCGAGGCCCGTTCCGTGCCCCCGAAAGGGGGTACGACGACCCTTCTTGTCTTGTTGTGTGGAGCCCGAGATCAAATAACTAAAATAATGTTCCGTCTTTCTAGTAAGCTAATTAACATTTTAGTTATTTACTGTTTCTTGTAAGATTGGATAAGAAGAAATTTAATTATATTTTTATCTTGAAAAATTTCTGATTTTTTTGCTGACTGTACCTGTAATTGTTTTCTAAATATATTCAAACATTTTTCTTTTTATCAAACACCTAACTGTCTGCTTTATTTGTAGTACTATAGCACACAATATCCATTGATCACATTACAATAGAAATATTGTACCCTGTACCATGTATCAGCTTGCTTTAAAGTACTCCATTATAGTGTTACAAATATAGAATCACCTATCTCTAAATATCGATTAAAATAGATACAATCTCCCCTATAGACATCAACAATGTAAATGTCCCTACTGACCTAGAGACATGAGTCTCAGTTTTTACAGAACAACAGCCATCCCACCCTTCAAACGCATTACTGCTTCACGACAGAAATAGACAGGGTGGTGGTACCTAAAGTTAATGGTATTATAATTAAATTGTACTTAGAGTTAGCAGGCTGAAGTGGCAATGGGCCGGTCACATCTGTCGAGCCAGCGACGCCAGGTGGGGGAGGAAAGTCCTCCAATGGAGGCCACGGATGGGTACAAGGAGCGTGGGGCGTCCTCCAACCAGGTAGACTGACGACATAGTGCGCACGGCGGGAAGTCGTTGAATGCAGAAGGCGGAGGACCGCATTATGTGGAAGGCATTGGGGAAGGCCTATGTCCAGCAGTGGGCAGATAAATGCTGATGATGTGGTACCTACCCGTACGGACTCACAAGACGTCCTACCACCCGCTTATTAATTGTCGATGTGTGCGGCAGGTACGGAGGCGTACAGTATGACGCCACGCCCGCCAGCTGGGCCGGCGTGCCCTATGACGTCACGGTGACGCGCAGCGACGGCGAGGGCTTCGGGTTCGTTGTTATATCGTCGACCAACAAGGCCACGAGCACCATAGGTACGTGTGACACATATATACATACATCATCTATACATCGGAGACGGTCATTAGTTTCGTAGCAAAACGAAACGCGGTACGATTCTCGAGAGATGGCAGCACGATCGCGATGTCGTCGGAACTCGGCTAACTTCGTGCTACGACAGAGCCTAGCCGATAGAGGCGCGTAGACGTCACTTACCAACCAGCCTTCTTTACTGGTGGCAGGACCTCTTGTGAGTCCGCCCCGGTAGGTACCACCACCCCGCTTATTTCTGCCGTGAAGCAGTAATGCGTTTCGGTTTGAAGGTCGGGGCAGCCGTTGTAAAAATACTTGAGACCTTGAAATTGTATCTCAAGGTGGGTGGCGCATTTACGTCTTAGATGTCTATGGGCTCCAGTAACCACTTTACACTAGGTGGGCTGTGAGCTCGTCCACTCATCTGAGCAATAAAAAAGAACATATTTTCACGGTGCGGGCATGTTCGTCTGGTTCTGAAATCGTTTCTTCATTTCCAGAATCTATACATATATTAATACGTGAAGCAAAAACTTTGTATCCCTTTTTACGAAAACTGCGTGGACGGAGGAGTATGAAATTTCCCACACTTATAGAGAATACAGAGAAGAAGTGCACAATGCTAATATTTTTTTTAAATAATGCATAAAAGATACATTAAATCAATAGAGAAAACATTACACACACTATATACCATGTATTTGACGCACACACGCATGCATACCATTTATTGTCAAACTTTTGTTCTTGACGTCTGTGGTCAAATTGAGAATAGATTAAATATTGTTTGTCTTTATTCATATTTTTTTATAGAGTAGCCTTGGCGAAATTTGTGATTATAGAAGTATAAAATACAATCATGATAGTGTACCAACTTATTATACAATTCCAATTAATTGTAGTCGAATTTCGACTACTGCGGGACCTCTAGTAAAATTAAAAATGCCTACCTTCTTATTAAATAAAATCAATAAAATATGTTGTATTTTAATTTTATTCGTCAAATAAATTATTACAATTTAAGATCCTCGAAACACAATTTCAGTATGAGAAAACAAGATAGCCGCCTTCTATTCCATAGATAAAATTTTATTTACTATAGTGATCCACCACCAATAATTACGCAAATTATAATTTTGCGGGTTTGATTTTTATTACACGATGTTATTCCTTCACCGTGGAAGTCAATCGTGAACATTTGTTGAGTACGTATTTCATTAGAAAAATTGGTACCCGCCTGCGGGACTCGAACACCGTTGCATCGCTCGATACGAATGCACCGTACGCCTTATCCTTTAGGCCACGACGACTTTACATGAACTAGTGGTCCCCGTAGTAGTCTAAATTAGACTATAATTAATTGAAATTATAAGTTTGTACACTATTATGATTCCATTTTCACATACTTCTATAATGACAAATTTCGCCAAGACTACACTATAGAAAAATATTAATAAAAACAAACAATATTTAATCTATTCTCAATTTGACCACAGACGTCAAGAACAAAAGTTTGACAATAAATAGTATGCATGCGTGTGTGCGTCAAATACATGGTACTGTGTAGCATTGTGCACTTCTTCTCTATATTCTCTATAAGTGTGAAAAATTGCATACTCCTCCGTCCGCGCAATTTTCGTAAAAAGGGGCACAAAGTTTTTACTTCACGTATTAATATATAGATATTTTAATGGAACATCAAAACATAATCGTTTCCAGGTCAACTAATCCCGAACTCTCCGGCGGCGCGCTGCGGGCTGCTACACGTGGGGGACACCATCGTGGCCATCAACCACGCGCCCGTCCGCAACCTCTCCCACCCCGAGGTGGTGGCGCTCATCAAGCGCTCCGGCACCACCGTCACGCTCACCGTCCTGCCGCCGGAGACCAGGCTCGACTGACGAAGGCTCTACTGTAGCTTCGAAGGCACGTACTAGTGCTGTCTACGGTCGATAAAAAAAAATATCGATACTTTTAACTTTCGATAAATACTCTCGGAATAGTGATGTCCAATCTACGATGTTATTATAGTGGCATTTTTTATTAGACGAAGTCAATTGACGTTTACTGTGTTGTCAGTTTTTGATGAAATAAGCTGTAGAAATAAGTGACATTAGCTACTGTCAGTTGGATTCGTCTAATTAAAAATACGACTATAGATAAAAACGACTGTGACAGAGAAGTGAAGTCTTCGGCTAAATGAAATTATTTATCTTCAGTCTATATTTATTAGACGTTCTCGAATCGAGCGTGAGGACTCGTGAGTGAACTCTGCTCACGGATAAGCTCGGTGGTTAGTTTTTAAAACGAATTGAAAAACAGCTTTAACCCTGCGGCAGCTGCGTAGATAATAATTAGTGCTAATAAAAACTATCGATTTCTTCCGAGTACAGTAAACGACCCGTCCTTTGAAAAAAAAAAAGCATTACGTATTGTTGCTCTTTTTCTTCGTTTTTAACATTAATATTACGAAGTAATATATATATATTTTTTTGTAGATTATAAATGGATTTACAATCTGTTAAGAAATAAAGATTAACAATAATTTGAATTCTAAATAATTGTTATCAATGTAATTTTAATCAGTAAGTAAAATGTATTTTTCGAAACACTTCCATTGTATTGTGTAAAAATTATAAACAAAAAATGGTTGCATAATAATAATGTAATAGTTGTAAATAATGGAAAATAAAAGGAGTATCCTTCTTGGCGCTGCCATAACTTCAGATGAGAGTGGCATTCATGTAGTGATGTCCATAGACTGCAGTAACAACCTCGGATATGGATCAACGAGAAGAGCTTCGTAAAAAATAAATTTAAATGTGTCCCAGTACTACGCCGTGGAAATTATAATTCGTTATAGTCAATAATAAAATTGTAGATTACTTTAAATTCTATGTGTACGGATGAAAGAGTTCACGGCCCGGCTGGTGTGAAGTCGTTAGCGGAGCCCATAGATATCACTACGTGGATGTCGTCACCCAGCCTGGGACATGAGGATAAATTGCAAAACACCCGTCCCACCATCCAAATTGGAGCGTACACACTCGTCCGGGTCACAGTACGTCTTCCATTGCGGTAGTTTTTATTTTTTTTGGGTCCGATCATCGTTACGCGATGTTGATCTTCCGTCGTGAAAATTATCCAATGAACACGATTTGAGTACATAATAGCATAATTAGAAAAAAATATCAAGGCCAAGTGGGATTCGAACCCCGGCACAGTCGCATCCTTCGATGCGAACGCACCAGACGTCTTATCCTTTAGGCCACGACGACCTTGTTATAGTGGAAACAAAAAAAATCTTAGTAGGGTTTTGATTAGCTCGACAAATGTACTGGTACAGTAACTAAAGTCGCATAGCGGTTTACGGTCAGAACCAAAAGCGATATGACCGAAATAAAAAATAAAAACAAAGCGGAAACTTAATAGTTTTTAAGGTGAAATATTTAGTTAGACCACCGAATTCAGATGATATTTTGATACTAAATAAAAAATAAACTTAGTTAATGAATATAAACAAAAAAAAAATTTTTTTTAAATAATTCTTATCGTAGAATGAGTGAATAGTGGAAATGTTAGTTAATATAATTAAAGTACAGATTATAGGTGAGAAAAAAAATGAGCAAATTTTTGCTAATCTGAAATACACAAACCGAAGTCGACTTGAGACTTGTAATGGAATTATTTCATTTAGTAATAATAATAAAAAATCACTTAAAAAAAGTGTAAAATTTTATAGTTTATTTAATGCACTTTTTGTAAAGTAATTATCTAAATATTACACTGTTGTGTGACGAAACTCAGATACATATATAATCTTTTTATTCGAATAAATGTCTTCTAAAAAACAATAAGATGTTGAAGTTTATTATGATTGTGAGATATAAACATTGTTATATAAAAGTGAAGACTACTATATGTATGTATATAGCCATTACATTTATAAGTAATTTCGAATTACAATTTTGACCCAATCATGAATTTTAAATTTTAATAAAATTAAAACGTTAAAAGTTGATAAATTGATAACGTTGAAGTACTTTTACCTGATATTAAACATATAATGAAATTTAATTAAACCTAAAAATTCAGAGCCTTCATTACAAAATCAACTCTGCTTTCGGTATGATAGTGCAGGACTAAATATAGAATTACCAGACGGATACTCACCCATTCTAGAAAAACTAAAAGTGGACAAATTAATTCTGCAACAAAATAATACTTATACACACCATAGTGATCATAACTCTCTTTATTTTTAACTTTATGTAGTCTGCGGTACAAATTTTTCAAAGGAGTGTCAATTCAAAAGCAACTTTAATTATATTAAAGTACTGCTTACGTATACTATAAGATGGGGGAACGAAATATACAAACTAACAGATTTTTGTAATTAAATTAGGTTGTAGTAGTTACACAATCACACAGGTGTGGTCACACGAAATTTTCAGAATTTCCATGAAAATTATGGACGCCCTATCCAATTCGAGCAAAAAATAAGAGCGAAATCTTCGAACAATTAATCAATCCATACGATAAATCAATATTTTGTATGGCTAATGAGATAATATTCGCAGACAACATCTTCAGATGGCAAATAGAATGTAGGAGTGTTGAATAATTTGTATGTTGCAGGAAAAAATAAATGCATGATTTTATTTATCAATACGTTGACATTTTGAACATATAACGGTATAATATCAAACCCGTGAGCGCCAATAGTCTGAATTTATACGAAGACCCACACATTCCAGCGATACCCAACCTGGGGTACGCGAACCCCAGTGGTCGGGGTCTCATTGGGGACACGTGAAATGTATATTGGTAATAGCGGAAATACCAAGAAGTTAAAACAGTTGACTTATAAATACATTATTAAAATGTATTATGTCTACATTCCAATGAAGCTTAAAACTAATAACTTAATAGAAGCCGACCGACCGATAGAAACGAGACGCATTTTTAGGTATCAGGGGAGGGCCATTCATTAATGAAAAGTTTTATTAAGGGTAACGTCTACAGTAACGGAGAAAAGTTTGAGAAACACTGGTCTGAACGAATTTCATAGAGATTCATACAAATCCGTAAGGTAGCTTGCCGTCTAAAAAGTCTTACCAGATAAAATATATTATTAATACATATATGTACATCATATAAAAATGTTATTGATTATTATACCATAAATGTTATTAACTATAAGCAATTTACCAAGTGCCTTTTGTAACCGTCGTCTTGCCTCGTCAGATTTTGTAAAAAACAAAAATAAATATATTTTAATATTTAAAATGGAAATGTATCCAAAGATGAAGCTCAATTAATATCAGCACGAAAAAAAATTTTTTTTTCACTCTTTATTTTATGCATTAAATTAGATTTTTAAGAACTATATTTTTTTTAAATGTCTTAAGGTATCATAATTAAATTGTTAAAATATAATGACATGAAATTCGATTCCATTTGTTTATTTAAGACTGAATACCTTTTATTTTACTTTTTAGGTTTCTATGTCCCTTGTATGTTGATAAAGTGTCCATGTAATTAATGTAGCTTTTGCGAAATATTTCTTAATGATTTTGTATTTTTTTTTTATTATTTCTTTAATGTCACATTTTATGTATATTAGTCATGATAATGTATAATTAAAACCTCTCAATAAATAAGTTTATTCGGAAAGGCAGTTTTATTCACAAAAAAATAAATACAACAAGTACTTATGTACTTAACAAATAAATTTATTTTGATAAATCTGAGTTAAGATTTTTTGGTACACAAATAAAAATATACACAAATAAAGGCACACAAATGATCAGACTTATGAACTTAAACCTAATTTATTTATTAATTTTACTAGTGACGTCATCAGTCAAAACAGCAATGAGTTGTTGGCCTATTAATCGGTAAGTGGCGACGTAGGTACTTAAAGATATCATTCAATTATGCATTACTGTGAGAAACGGAACATTTAAAGTGAGAGGGATGAATGTATGAGGAAGAAAGGGACGGAAGGGAGAAGATTAAGATGGCGATCGGGCATTATGAGCACTGAGCAAGTAATATTATGAGTGTTAACATATTCAATTTTGTTACTTTTCCAAAAAAAATGGTAATTTACTTTGAGCTAATCCCACATTACTATTTTAAAGAAATATACTTTTCCATTATATGTGTATTATAAGCCTCTTCTGGTCTGTTGATTTAATGATTGGGACTTCTTAGAAGACTTGCTTTAAAATGATAAAATCTAAAATTAAGTTAAAACAGCACAGGTGCTATCTTCGCTTCGGAGCCACTTCTTCCAGGCGCGGTAGCCACCTGCATGATCCAGTTGGTATAGGTGTCGATTCTGGTGAAGACATCGGGGTGCTCGTCGTCACCGCAGCCCTCGTGGTAGGAAGCAGTGCCGACTAGAACTTGGCCGATGACCATGGGCGCTCCGGAGTCGCCGAAGCAAGTGCTGCGGCCGACCTCGTTGGCGCAGATCACGCCTAGATTGAAGTTTAGTCAATAAATAAATTGTTCAAAATTTATAAAGACGTTTTTGATGTGAATGGCAAGTTTTAGTCTCGAGGTGGCTCATTGAAGCCTCATGAATAAGCCAAACCCGTAATATTACACTATAAGCGGTAAGCTATTTACCCGACTACAAGACTATCAAGTCTATATTGTGATTGAAAATAAATAATAAATAAAATAATTAATCTGTTTCCAAAATGTTCTGTTCGACTTACGGTCAGAAATGTCGACTTTAGTAGAACCACTGTAAATGGCTTTGCATCGCTCAATGTTGATCTTTCTTTGGGTGATGGTTTTCAGGGTCTCCAGCTGTGGACCGCCTACCTAAAAGTTGAATATTGAATTGTTACTTAAAAAATATTTCAAGTGACTCACAAATTAATTAAAAATATGGTCGATTATTATTATAAACTAGCTGATCCGGCAGACATCGTAGTGCCTCAATCGATCAATAAAAGACCGGTCCAGCCGTTCTCGAGTTTTAGCGAGACTAACGAACAGCAATTCATTTTTATATATAGAGATAGATAGATGATCGAAAACATGCTAGAAATCAGAAGGAGTCTGTGTCAGTCTGGCAGATTTAATCACGACTATGTTTTTGACATTATAATAGTATTTTCTACATCGGCCTTCCTTAACCTAAAAGTTCCTCCTAGGTTATGGGGTATCGAAAAACATTAGATAAGAAAAGGTAGATGCAGCCGTAAAATAATTATTAAAATCTTTAACAGAGACACTGAATCCGTGTGAGAAACGAATCCGTGCCTTGTGGTACAATTTGTTTTGGGATGGAAGAATTGCTGGGGGCACGGAGGCCTTCCCATCTTCCAGGATGAGCGTGTGGTGCAGCAGTCAGCGTCACTTAAGCACCAGACAACGAAGCAAAGAAGCAATAATACATGAAGCTGTAATTATGTTCACTAGTATTATCTATTAGAAATATGTTCGTTTTGAGTTTTTTAAAGCACATATTTATCTAACGCGTGATGTGAAACAGATGTTTCCTCTAATAACCGATGTCCGTCTAGGGTTTTCACGTTACGACTTTTTGAAAAATAAGAGTTAAAAAAATATATCTCTTAAAATAGAAATAAAAGAAACTATATTGTGGATTCAATAATATAAGTAAAGTTTCATAAAAATTTAAAAGCTTCGCTTCATTTTTTCTGGTACTATGACGCCCGCACTTTCGTGATAAATCGTACCTTTAAGTGGCTTAATCCAAAATTCTTGTTTTTTTGTAAACACCAAAAATGTAATTGAATTGTAATTTTTTAGTTTGTCGTTTTTAATACTATAAGCTTCACTGAATAAACTCAAGGTATAGATTCCAATTAACATCAGCTATGAGCCCTAATAATCGCTCAACATTTGGTGAATCATTACCAGGTTTGCTCATGTAAGCCATATATCTTTTAACTTGACACATTAAAAGTACTCACGTATTCAAAACCCCAGCTAACGGTGGTAAGAGAAGTGCCATCGGGGATAAAAGTGTTTTGAGGAGGAAGGAAGAGCACGTTGACCGTGTTGCTGATGCCCAGGGCGGTAGCCAGGCGGATCACGGCAAGATCACCAGACTTTGGCTCTTCAACGTACCCAGGGTACTTGGTCACCTGTCCTACACGGACCACGGTACCACCGGATAAGCTGTTGGTAGAGCCAGCTCGGATCTCCATATTATCAAGGATAGCGCCACTGCAAAAAATCCCAAAAAGCTATCAACACAAATCATTACCCTAAGCGTAATGGGACACAAAAATAATTCGTGTCAGTATCGCGGTTTTGTGTAGTCCAATTTAGGCTCTAACTTAGGCGTTACGTTGTAAGTTTAGCTCATGAGTTCCTTGATCAGGATCGGGCCTATCTACATTCATCACATACCTACACAATCTTTATCGATATCACCGCATATTTTAGCCACTGTAACTTGGGTATGTAGATACATTTGGGCAAAACGTATACAATTTCAGTATGAAATGCATCTTACAGATATTTTTTTAATTTTTTTTTATTGCTTATATGGGTGGACGAGCTCACAGCCCACCTGGTGTTAAGTGGATACTGGAGCCCATAGAAATTTACAATGTAAATGCGCCACCCACCTGGAGATATAAGTTCTAAGGTCGCAAGTATAGTTACAACGGCTACCCCACCCTTCAAACCGAAACGCAATACTGCTTCACGGCAGAAATAGGCAGGGTGGTGGTACCTACGCGGGTGGACTCACAAGAGGTCCTACCACCAGTAAAATAGATATGATAGAAGGCTACAAAAAAGTTAATGATTTACTCACGTGAAACAATAGCCTGAAGTCACTACATGCCAAGATGAGATCAACGAACCTACGCATCTTTGTACTCTGATGGCAGGCCTGGGGTAATAGTACACCAGGGCGACGATGTACGGAAACTGCTCTATGGTGGTGTGCTCACCGCCCACGAGACGAGTGTTGGGCGCTGCCGATACTGAAAATAATAATTTCATTCATAATATTATCCTAGTGAAAGCGACAATGGCCTTGAAACTGTAAGAGCTAATATTCAAGAATCTGTCCGTCTCCAAGATTTGCCAACTTTGTACATATATATTTTTTTATGGTTGAAGGATTACTGCTGGCCTAGAGGCCTTTCCAGTTTCACCAGGACAGGTGGGCGAACAAAGGCTCAGCCAGGAGAGGTGAGATTTGCTAACAGCTGCCCAAACGCCTCCTCTAACCTAACAACTCAAGAGCAACTGCTTCGCGAATGAATCTACTACCGGATCAGAATCGCGACCCGCTGAGAAGATCCGGCGAGTAACTCGGCGGTCTGATGCATGGGTTAGGTTGCACGTCGAACTCTTTGCCGAGTTCGACGAGTAGGGTTACCGATTGTACATATATCATTTCTACACACGTACGTAGACGTTGCAAACTGTGCTTCCTTTTCTCCGTGGGTAATGAAACTGAATGTCAAATCTAGGCTCCAGAAAAATACTCAGCATCTTTGGTCTTGCCAATATTTTTTCGAGGCCGTTCATGTGGAACTTTTGACGATAAATCTCACATATGTAGCTACAACTTGTCTTGACAGGATTCGCCTTCATTAGGGGCAAATTATAAAGATTATTTAAATGAACTGCCTTTGAACTTACCGGCGGCCACAAATGCGAGCATCAAGTACAGCACCTTAGAAGCCATTTTCCAACTGACCAGTTATCACTAACAAAAAGTACATGTCCGTTCATCTCTATTTATATATATTGATCAGAAAATTGGCATAATCTGTCATATCTATCGAATGATACAAGTATGTACAGGGTATTTCAAAATATTCGCTTGAATGGACCTCGAAATAACGAAAAAATAGGATTGCAAAATATTATTGCTTTAACGGAGTAGACTAGCTTGTTAATTTTAAAGAGATTTTAATGGGATCGTATACTTGTAGCATTCAATTCCATTTCCCTGACTATTTTCTATCGCAAATCCATAATGCCGCTTAAAAGTGTAAAACTTGCCTGTTCCGTGCAAGTTACTTTTGAATATAAATTGGAGATGTGACAGCTCAACATAGGATTATTAAAATAAATAAATTTGAAGTCGTCGTGGCCTAAAGGATAAGACGTTCAGTGCATTCGTGTTGAAGCGGTGCACCGGTGTTCGAATCCCAGGCGGGTACCAATTTTTCTAATGAACGTACTCAACAAATGTTCACTATTGACTTCCACGATGAAGGAATAACATCGTGTAATAAAAATCAAAACCTGCAAAATTATAATTTGCGTAATTACTGGTGGTAGGACCTCTTGTGAGTCCGCATGGGTAGGTACCACCACCCCGCCTGTTTCTGCCGTGAAGCAGTAATGCGTTTCGGTTGCAAGGGTAGGGCAGGGGCTGTACTGCCGTTCTAACTATACTTGAGACCTTAGAACTTATATCTCATGGTGGGTGGCGCATTTACGTTGTAGATGTCTATGGGCTCCAGTAACCACTTAACACCAGGTAGGCTGTGAGCTCGCCACCCATCTAAGCAATAAAAAAAAGCGATAATTCGAGATTGGAATCAATTATAAAAACATCATGCTGTATAACACAACCCTTGCGGCATGAACATTAGCTTAATGATAAAATGTAACATTAATCTTGCACGTACGCTTTTATCTAAGCCTGCGTAAAATCATTTGATTACAATCAAAGCCTATTAATAATAATATTATCACTAATATTAATTTCAGTATTATAAGCTTAAATAGCACGCTATCATTCACATTTTTCATGTGATAAATCCAGTGTGGTTTGACCCAATAACGAAAGTTCAATTCAAAAACGTACATATGTTCAAATTTATTTATCACTACATAGTATAAAACAAAGTCGCTTTCTCTGTCCCTATGTATGCTTAAATCTTTAAAACTACGCAACGGATCTTGATGCGGTTTTTTTAATAGATAGAGTGATTGAAGAGGAAGGTTTATATGTATAATAACATCCGTTAAATAGTGGAGAAATCAATAATAAAATAGTTTCCGAAGCGAAGGGAGGGCGGGTCGCTAGTGATTTATAATTTAGAAGTCGTCGTGGCCTACAGGATAAGCCTTCCGGTGCATTCGTATTTTGCGATGCACCTGTGTTCGAATCCCGCAGGCAAGTATATACCGACTTTTCTAATGAAATACGTACTTAGCAAATGTTCATTGATTATTAAATTTCACGGTGAAAAAATAACATCGTGTAATAAAAATTAAACCCGCATGATTATAATTTGCGTTATTAGTGGTGGTAGGACGTCTTATGAATCCACACGGGTAGGTACCACCACCCTGCCAATTTCTGCGGTGAAGCAGTAATCCGTTTCAATTTGAAGGGTAGGGCAGGGGCTGTACTGTACTGAGAGACCTTAGAACTCATATCTCAAGGTGGGTGACGGCATTTACATTGTAGATATCTATGGGGTAACCACATAACATCAGGTGGGCCGTAACCTCGCTCACCCAACTTAGCAATAAAAAAAAATAAAAAAATTGGCTATCAATGGCTGTACAAAACAAAAACACATTTCAAATTGTTTGCAACTTGGTCAATCCGCCGCAGACATCGCAACGCAGTATGTACGAGAATCGAGCGAAAGAAAATGAATGAGTCCTTATCATCAATTTGATATACATGATAAGTACACAAAGACCATATACTGATTTTCGTTAATGCTATACTTATTATATATATTGTCTTAAGGCACTTAAGCGATTCGGAGATGTCTAAATACATAAATGCTTGACTCCCTGACAGAGTCTTTCAAAACAACACAATCGTTTTCGTAGCCCATGATGTTTACGCGGCCATTGTTCATATAAGAAGTCTAAATATGGGCTGCTACACTCCTCTACCAACGCTTTTACATAGTTATTGAAGAAGTCAGGCAAAAAATAATCCTTCCTGCCTCAACCCAAATTGCAGTCTATAAGGATCGGACAATATTTCGGCTCATCGAATGTGGTCAGTTTTATTTCAGGAATAACTTAAAGAACTTAATTGCAAGCACTTAGGTGATCTATAAAAAAGGTCTAGACATAACCACTCATATACCTACTTGTAATATCAATTCAGAAAAAGACAATCCTCCCTGTCCCATCCCAAATTGCAGTCTATAAGGATCGGACAATATTTCGGCTCATCGAATGTGGTCAGTTTTATTTCAAGAAGAACTTAGGTGCAAGCACTTATGTGATCTATGAAAAAGGCCTAGACATAAGCACTTATATACTTATAATTATGTAGTATCAAAAATATGCTTAAAGCCCAAAATAGCCCTTTTTGTGATCCCGGCCTGAGAACAATATTTTCGTGTAGAACTAGTATATATTATGTATATCGAAGGGTGAAAAGTTATTTGGTTTAAGCTATTGGTTTTCAACTTTACAGGAGAGTCATGTAAGGTTTAAAATTTGGAAAAAAGATCATAACAAAAAAACTTCTTCAGCTATATTAACTAACAAGCGGCCCGCTCCGGCTCCGCTCGGGTCTTTAACAAAAATTTCAACGATATTTGACGTTGTTTTATTTATTAAAATAAAAGAATACTTATTGCGGCATAACTATAATAGTTAGACATATGCTGTCGCGACATTTTTTGTAAATGATAATAATATGTTCTACAAAGTCGTAGTATCGTTATTTTATTCTATCATCAATGGTTTTCGGAGGGCACGCGATGTAAATAATATTTTAGGTAATTTTTTTACACCTTGGTATACATTATTGGAGTTTTAGTAAGGATCCCTAATTTTTTTCAAAAAAGGTTATGTCACTGTAAAACCTATGTCACTCGGCAATAGTGTAGCTTCCAAACAGTGAATTAATTTTTCAAATCGGTTCATTAGTTTTGGAGCTTATTCAATACAAATAAACAAACAAATCTTTCCTCTTTATAATATTAGTATAGAGTATAGATAGAGTAAACTTAATTGAAGTTCAATTAATAACATGGAACTGTTGATGGTTGGTATCAAATAAAACGGACCTTTAATTACAAAGATAAGTGTCGAAATGTCACTTAAATGCAAATAGTATTTCACCCCTCAGTGTATAGATATTGTCATGTCTGACAATAGCTCGTTAATCTCTATGCTGTTGTTAATGTCCATGACGATTGGTTAGGTAGGCCATTACCGGTTTCTTCGATGCGAATGAGACAACGTTCGCGATTTCTCGTGAGAACGTGAAATTGAGATTACGACCTTATATCTTGAGGTAAACGGTGGCGTCTTCAATATTCAGCGGAGCGCTCGTAAGCCCGTTCCTTATTCGGCTCAAAAAAGTGTAATACCTCTGACTAGATGCAGGGTGATTTCGGTCCCTGGCGTGATGTACTGGAATATCTGCGCAACCATCTCGTTTCCACTTTCCACACACGACCTATTTCATTGAGAAGATTCTGTCCGGCTAAGGATTCGTAAGAAAATAAGTAACATATTTGCTGGGTGGGAACGTGGAAACCTTATCACAACTTTTATTACATGAGTGAAAGAGTTCAAGGTCGATTGTGGTTGTGGTTACCAGAGAACATGCTTACTTACGGTTACCACGGTTACTGGTGGTAGGACCTCTTGTGAGTCCGCACGGGTACGTACCACCACCCCGCCTATTTCTACCGTGAAGCAGTACCGTGAGGTAGCCGTTGTAACTATACTGAGACCTTAGAATTTATATATCATGGTGGGTGGCACATTTACGTTGTAGATGTCTATGGGCTCCAGTGACCACTTAACACCGGGTGGGCTGTGAGCCCGTCGATTAAGTCGTCGTGGCCTAACGGATAAGACGTCCGGTGAATTCGTGTTAAGCGATGCACCGGTGTTCGAATCTCAGGCGGGTACTAATTTTTCTAATGAAATACGTACTCAACAAATGTTTACGATTGACTTCCACGGTGAAGGTATAACATCGTGTAATAAAAATGAAACCCGCAAAATTATAATTTGCGTAAATACTGGTGGTAGGACCTCTAGTGAGCCCGCGCGGGTGGGTACCACCACCCTGCCTATTTCTGCCGTGAAGCAGTAATGCGTTTCGATTTGAAGGGTGAGGCAGCCGTTGTAACTATACGTGAGACCTTAGAACTTATATCTCAAGGTGGGTGGCGCATTTACGTTGTGGATGTCTATGGGCTCCAGTAACCACTTAACACCAGGTGGGCTGTGAGCTCGTCCACCCATCTAAACATCCACCCAAAAAACCCATCTAAGCAGTAAAAATAAATAAAAATAAAAGCATGTTAGTACAAAAGGTCTGACTCCCAATCTTAACATATAACGGCTGATCTTTTAAGCCAGTGTGCTTAGTGCGAGTTGAGTGTCGAGCGGACTTAAAATGGCACCATCCCCGTCTCTTCGGCTGGATGTCATAAAAGACGACTAAGGGGTTCACCAGAGAATACTCTAAGTATTACGCCAGCGTATTGCGATTTCTAATAGGCACTAAGTATATCCTGCCTATACCAGTCGCGGAGATGTCATTCGTTCAATGTGCTTAATGCGTAACGTTCTCGATAGCGTAAAAGTTAACTCAAATTTGTACGGAGTTGGAACGTTTGCCTACGTTTGCCGCTAGGGGCGCTGTTCCAACTGCATACAAATTTGAGTTAACTGTAACGCTATCGAGAACGTTAAAAAACTCGCACTAAGCACACGGAACATATAATTAGGTACGTTGTAGATGTGGGATGTTGATACTACCGACAAGTATAGTATCACAATATGCCCTATTGCATGTTTCCCACAAACCAGTAAGGACGTATAATTTCATTTTTTACATACGACTGAAAAAAAATTGTTCACTAAACAGAGTAGATAAATTGCTATGTACATAAATAAATATTTATTAAACGTAAACTAAATCATGATGGTGTTGCCATACTTACCTAATGTCCGTGCTAAAAGTTTGCATTTTGCATTTTTCCTATTTCGTCCAATTTTTTGCTTAAATGGGTCGACGAGCTCACAGCCCACCTGGTGTTATGTGGTTACTGGAGCCCATATATATCTACAACGTAAATGCGCCACCCATCTTGAGACATAAGTTCTAAGGTCTCAACATAGTTACAACGGCTGCCCCACCCTTCAAACTGAAACGCATTACTGCTTCACGGCAGAAATAGGCAGGGTATATGGTACCTACCCGCACGGACTCACAAGAGGTCCTACCACCAGTAATTTCGCAAATTATAATTTTGCGAGTTTGTTTTTTATTACACGACGTTATTCCTTCACCGTGGAAGGCAATCGTGAACATTTGTTAAGTACATATTTCATTAGAAAAATTAGTACCCGACTGCGGAATTCAAACATCATTGCATCGCTAGATACGATTGCACCGGACATCTTATCCTTTAGACCACGACGACCTCGTCTCCATGGTAAGTAAACTATTGTAAGCTATAGAGGTAAATTGGATGACGTTTTAACTTGAAACTAGTTTTTTCTGTGAGAAAAGGTTTTATGTGCGATTCGACAAATGGGCTTAAAGCAAAAACTCCTTAGAAACTACAGTGAAACACAATGACATTAACTATCAAACGAAATTAATGGTATTAAATTCTCGTGGAAATTTTATGGAATGCAAATTTTTTGTAATTGTCGATACATTTCTTTGAAACACAATTAAAATGGGAAATCACAATATTAAAGCGGCACAAAATAAGTTTTGTGATAAACAAATGAGTGCAGGCGATGTGGGAACATTCTCAAATGGCTCTAATATAAGAAAATTCACAAAAAATCAAGGGCCAGGAAGACCAAGAAAAACAGGAAAAATACAAAGCTCTCGTGAAAAAGATAGCATTAAGCTGTCACGATCTGATATACAAAGAATTAAAAACATGCTTAACGAGAGTAGACCTGTAATGTTAACACTTATGGATCCGAACAGAACTAATTTGTATCCACAGAACATCTATCCATTGGATGGATCTCTTTCTGAAAAGTATTACAAAAAAACTTCAAAAACATCATGTCGAAGAGTCAAATCAAACCCGTGTTCTGATTTCTGTCCTGAATGTCATGAAAAATCTGTTATTTATAGCTTCAAAAATAAGCATTTTTAGGTTTTTATTTGTGAAATCGTTTTAATTTTTAACTGGTTATAAAATTAACTTGACGTTTGCGTTACGTTCCACGGGTAAACGAAACTCGATTTATAGCAACACAGGCCACTGGCGCGCCGTCTTCGTGTTCCGAGGTGATCTGCGCGTGTCATTGGAAATAAAGTTTTCTTAATGTTTTCAATGCGAAATTCAATAGTAATTATATCAAATTAATAAATCGTGTGTAGTGATTATGTGCTGTTATCTTGTGAGTAGCTGAGGTGTACGATAAGGGTAAGATAACTAAAAAAATATCTACTTGTTCGTGCTGAACTGTCGGTAGTTTTAACTATGTTTTTGCTGTTTCCCTATTTTTAAGTTGAAAAATAAATTTTTTCGAGAAGTGATTTGGAATTTTAACGTAGATTCTTTAGTGTGATTTTGTAAAAAAGCACAGTTTTGTAAAGGAAGAATATTTTAAATAACATTGTACTTATTTTGTTTCAGTTTTGACTTTTAAATCATTGACATTGATACTTAAGTATCTCATGTTTAAGTTATTTTCTTAGCCACATATATAACGCTGGATATAGTTTTGAAGTTGAAAAAAATTTACATCTTGATGTAACCACCTACTATAAAGATAACTAACTACCTACTAAAAAGAAAAGTTAATTATTCAAATTATCTCCTTGAACTCATTAACTGCAGTATGATCTTACATTGGAAAAATATATGTAATTGACTAATTAAGTCAGTGAATCAACATTAAGTATATAAATGAAAATGCACTCCATCAGTAGCTATTAATGACTCAGTTTAAATTAATATTTTTCATAAATATAACTTTAAAAGTTATATTTTGTTACAAATTTTAATAAAAATAATAAATGATTACAATTTTGGCAACAATTCTTTTGATTCATAATTGAAATTTATGACAAATTTAAAATCAATTAATAGTTTTATGTAAAAAAATCACATCATCTTAAGGCTCATGTTTCTCTTATAAAACTAAATAGAGGTGTGCAGAGAGTCATAGAATTTATTAAAAAATTAAAATTGATCTTATGTCCAGGATTGTTATAGTAATATATACACACTTGAAAGTTTTTTGTTCTTAACTTTAAACTGTTCAAAGTTGTAATACAACAGTATAATGGTAAGAGGTGACAACTTAAGGAGAATTCTATATTATGAACATTAAATAATGGCATAGAAATAAAGCTATGCAAACTAATAATGACCCCTTCAATTCTAGATATAATTAACTTAGATAATTTTTTTTTTTTTTTTTTATTGCTTTCATGTTGGACGAGCTCACAGCCCACCTGGTGTTAAGTGGTTACTGGAGCCCATAGACATCTACAACGTAAATGCGCCACCCACCTTGAGATATAAGTTCTAAGGTCTCAGTATAGTTACAACGGCTACCCCACCCTTCAAACCGAAACGCATTACTGCTTCACAGCAGAAATAGGCAGGGCGGTGGTACCTACCCGTGCGGACTCACAATAGGTCCTACCACCAGTGGTAGATAATGCATATATATCACTATTAATCATATATGACTTGGCAGAACAACAATAGAAGTTTCTGATTTATAGAGTCCAAGTTTCTTAGAAGTATTTTTCATTTTATTTTTTATATCTAAAGCAATAATAATAATTTAGAAGTCTTGTTTTAAAATGGTATAAAAATCTACATTATTGCTTATTCACGTGTTGGTTTATCCTTTGATCTGAACCTAGGTAATAATTGAATGATGATTATATCATAATGAATTATATCAATTTTCATCTGTTCATTATTTTGGATTTGAAATTATGTTATGAAAATTAATTCATGACAATTTAAAAATGGAGTTGACGATACTTCATTTTTGCTTTATTTATCCAAAGTATTAATAGAAGTGTACATAACTTCAAAGTTTCAACGACAGTTCCACAGAAAAATATGTTTCTTTGGTAACGATGAGTGTAGTTGGACTCATAAGTAATGGTGATAGGTACAGGTAATGTTCCGTACAGTAAGATACACTACCTAAAATACTCTACTGGGGACCATGGAACAGGTTCAGCATACAAGGGAAAAATAATTCTAGACATTTATTTGATATTTAATTACTATATTCCCTGATCTTAAACACAGTTCTGAGTTCTACATTTATAATAACATGACCTGAAAAAATACAAATAACAAACTCTATATCCAAACAAGAAATACAAAATCAACCTTATCTTTGAACCACTAATGAATATTCTTGTTTACTCTGAGATGGCAATAGCAGCTACCTTTTTAAAATAAACAAAGAATGTTTCATCAATCTGGAGGTTATGCATTAAAAATTCTATATAAAGTTTGCGCCTTCCTTGTTGATTGTAAGTAATTGTTATTAGTTTCTATTTTTAGCTATGAAATTATCATTAACTCTACAGAATTTTTATAATTCAGAATTTATACATATTAAACCCTAGTAATAAATCCTAAACGCATTGATAACCTTGAGCTACTCGTAAAATAAATTTTTCCTCAACAACAATGCTTTATCGCTAAACAGTTATTTTCTAATTTTAGCATAATTTGAATGAATACAGCATTTAAACTGCACACATTTTGTGTTAACCGCTGATATGGACATGCCAATCAGTTGATGACATAACAATTCAATCTCCCACACACTCTTTAAATGTACTAAATGGTTGTTAGTTAATAGAGGTTATGTATGCACAGTGTGTAAATTTTCTGTTATAAGGATTTTTTTTATTGTTACTCAATTATCTAGTTTCTATGATAGCAAGCAGTCAAAAATTTTCAAGCATTAATAAAAATCATGTTCATGGGGTGGTAGGCTAATATTGGGTTTTATAACACCAAAATACTTAGTGAAGATGATTAATATGTTTAATCATCGAGATCAACTTTTAAATAATTAGTAGTGATTGTTCATCTCCTGCAAAGCCAGTGAAGAATCTGCGTACGTGACGTACGTGAACAATGACGTCATTATTCGGAGTTCTTGATTGAGTAAAAAATTAAATCAATAATTAATTGGCTGCATTTTGTTTATGCTGTAACAAAATATAAGACAGAGATATAGAGACGGTATGCTTTATTGTACACGAAATAAAAAAAATGCGTAATGCTAAATACAAAAAGTACAATTGGCGGTCTTATTTATTTATTTAGTTGCACCGACAAAGTGATCATCGATACAAAATATTGCCAAACTGACAAAAGCACATGGCAGATGTCATCTCAATTATTGGTGCAATCGACAGTGCATTGACAACAACAAAAAAAAGTAAAACTTTAACATTTGATTACTTATGCGCTAAGAGCGATCTCTTTCAGACAATCATCAGGTGGTTAAGTATCATTAGGAAACAAATTACACGTATCGCACATATTACAATTAGTCTGAAAACAAGCGAAATTGGCGACGCTTTAAACGCCCTGTCGCATCACTGACTCTGTGATTCAAACTCGTCTGTAACAATACAGTGCCGAGATGGTAGGCGGGGTACAGTCGACGAGACAACTACATTGCAATAAATCTAAAACTTATCGAGTTTGGAAACTGCGACTCCGTGTTTACGAGGCTCGCCGCCCGATAACGCCAGACCACGAACGGAGTCAACGTAGATTACGTGACTCATTGTAAACGATTAGCATTGTCTATACAATTATTGTTTCAGGGTTATTACAACATTGGCAAATACCAGCCATCTTACATGATAATATTTTAAATGCATTCGCGAATTAGCTGCTCTTGAGTTGTAAGGTCTCCTTCGGAGGCGCTCGGGCAGCTGTTTGCAAATCCCTCCCCTCCTGGCTGAGCCCTTGCTCGCCCACCTGCCCTGGTGAACCTGGAAATGCCTCCGGGCCACTAGTAATTCTTCCATAAAAAAAAAGAAAATGTTTCAAATCGAGCAAATGACAAGCAGTCTAAGCGGCCTCAATAAGATTCAGTGTCAGATTCGTATGTATTTACATTATGAATATCTAATCCACCGGCCTAATCGCCCGGGATGAAATATATAATTACCAAATTGTTTTTTTTTAATAATCAATTTAACTTTATTGTAATCTGCTCATCGGGGGATACCCGAAACTTTGGATCATAATTTTGTAACATTTTTCTAAGGAAAAAATGTTTATAACATTTAACAGTTAAATAATGAAGCTGGTGTGGCGTTTAAAAACACACCTTTTTATGATGCGTAAGCCGGAACGCACGAGAGGTGGAAACAAGAATATAGTCTGTGACACGGGACCTTTTTTTACCGCCGAAAATTTAAAACGTAAAAATAATTTATAATGTGTTTAATAACTATTATAATATAATAACCTAGAATTGCTTATGCCGCTACATCAATAAAATTTCCATTGCTCCAACTGTAGTGTTAATTACATAAAACACGACTTTACGGCGATATGAACTCCCTCACTGGGTATACCTGATTTATTACTATGCTTATTAGATGAAGTTGTGTTAGCATATACGTGATTTCAAAGTTTCAATTACCGTTACAAAGAAGACTAATGTATATTGCTTCCGTAGTTGCAAATATTCGCGGCGCGGCGAGGCGTATATTTCCGTTTTTCTCGAACACGCTTTGCCGCCTGAAAATATCTCATCATTACTTTGAAAAGCAAATTCACGAAAATACTCAGCTTCTATTTTGTAATTCTTAAACATTGTTGAGACGAAGCTATTTCAAGATTTTCAAGAAGCTAAATCGAAACACCAGGAACGGTATGAGAAGTCTTTGATATTACGTTTTAAGTTCAAAGAATGTTTTTTCTTTCAGTACTTTGTTCTCGACTGTTTTTGTTTGGAGAAGTTTTTATTCCTTTACGACGATCGACTTGTAAACAGAGCTCCTATAAGGCTCCTATATATATTTACGTGAAATGAAGAACTAACTTTATTAGCTTTAAATTGACGGTCTTCTATTTTTTTTCCTACCTAAGCTGATAGCCTTGAGAGGCTATATCAGCGTCGCCTTAACTAGTAGGTGAGCTCACGGGGCTCAAACCTGATGACGTTGCTAACACGAACCCTAGCAAGCGCAGTGCTTCGCAGAATCAACCGCCGGATCGGAAATGCGACCCACTGAAAAGATCCGGCGAGAAACTCAGTGGACTGTGTCTGAGCGTTAATTTACTCATCGAGCCCTTCGTCGCAAGCGACGGGTTCGACGAGAACGATGACCGGTGCTTGAGGAGTCTTCTAAACGCTAAGGCTCAGTAATTTTACAACTCCCGCATCAGACATATCTTAGAGTTGG